TTCGACGTGCAACCTAGCCCATGCTTCAGCCTGCTGAGTTTCTCGCCAGATCTTCTCAGCGGGTCGCGATTCCGATCCGGTAGTAGATTCATTCGCGAAGCAGCTGCTCTTGAGTTGTTAGATCTCCTTTGGAGGCGCTCGGGCAGTTGTTAGCTAATCCCACCCCTCCTGGCTGAGCCTTTGTGCGCCCACCTGTCCTGGTGAAACTGGAAAGGCCTGCAGGCCACCAGAAATTCGTCAATCATAAAAAAGCAACAGGGGAAGTTGCTGCTTATTATACCGCGAAGCAGCGTTCCAATTTCAGGGATAGGAAATTTCTATTATGTCAATTCAGAGTTTGACGTCATGCCTTCAAGTACGTAAGAGCGCACACGGCTGAGGGGATCGGATAATTCTTAATAAATAGGCATGTCTACTCATTTAATTATCGGGAAAGAACAGAAAATCTGATCCCACGGTAGTCCTTTGCACTCAGATTCAGAGGTAATATAAAATTCAAAGTCAAGTTAACATGTGTAGTCATAACAGATTTTTACTTACATTAAGTACGTCTGAACTGGGAGAACTGGGAGTGAGAACTGGGAGGGGGCTATTCGTGTAGGAGGCCACCGAATAAATAATCTTCGTTTTGCTGATGATACCACTATAATCGTTACCTCAGAGCGAGAGCTGCATGAGCTTCTGAGGAGAGTAGAAATCGTTAGCAAAGATTACGGACTTTGTATCAACCGATCCAAAACGAAATTGATGTTTGTCGATAGAGCTGGCACAATGACACGCACTCACGAACTGCGTGACAGGGAGGTCGCGAGGAGGAAATCGCAGCATAAACAAAAAAACTAAGATAAAGCTCATGAGAACCCTTATTTTCTCCATATTCTTGTACGCTTCTGAGACGTGGACCCTCAAGGCCCGTACCCGATCGAGAATTGACGCATTTGAAATGTGGTGTTGGCGCAAAATGTTGGGCGTATCATGGACGGAGCGCCGAACAAATGTGTCAATTCTCGAGGAGCTAAACATCAAGACCCGTCTATCTGCAATCTGTATGTAGCGTCTCCTCAAGTACTTCGAACACGTGGCCCGACAAAATCCTGAGAACTTGGAAAAATTAATAGTTGTAGGTCACGTGGAAGGAAAGAGAAGTCGAGGAAGATTGCCAACCAGGTGGACGGACATTGTCAAGGAGGCCACAAATACCAGCGTCCCGGGCGCCATTAAGTAGGCCGAATGCAGGCAACATTGGAGCAAGCTGGTGCAAAAACTGGACCTAGGTGGTCACGACCCTCAGTAATGAGGAAACGACAAAGAAGAAGAAGAAGTACGTCTATCAAAACTAGTTAAGTTTTAATATTGGGAATAAGGAAATTCTGCTTAAGCCTGTTTATCTCTCGCAATAAATGAACAACTCGTACCTAAGCCAGGACGTAAGTTATTCCATAATAATGCTCAGTCAAAGCTAATAGGTGAAAGATAATTATGTCAGCGATTATGTCAATGGCGGAAAACATACGGTATACAAAAAAAATTCCGAGTGTAAAGATGTCTAAAAACCATTCGATTTACACCAGTAGGTATGGTGTCTGTGTTAATGCAATTTTTAATCTCAATTTCACGTTGATTCCGATTGTATTTTAGTATGACCTAATAAAATACGTACATGAGCATTTCTCAAAATTATTGCACAATAGACTTTAGCCTCTGTCCCATTTTTTTAATATTTTGTTCCGGCTAATATATTAGTTCATTACTACTTTTTATAAATTGTGTAAGCAGTATAACTACTCTACTTATTAGAAAGGAAAAAAACAGATATAAATACAATGAGATTTTTTCATTAAAAATATATATCATAAATCAGCTTCAACCAGTTGTATGAAAAGTGCAGTGTCCNAACGGTGTTAGACGAAAATATTATTTTTCTTAGATCACAATATATTGTAATGTAATTGGTAAAGTATTGGAGTACGGGACGCGTATTGGTGTTCGGGCCGCACGACGTTAAGTCGGTGGTCAAGTTTAAAAGGAATATTTTTATACGAACGCTAAGGTCGGTCGCGGCTCGCGCGTCAATCGTAATGTATCGTATTTGTTGTGTTTAAGAAGATATCTAATGTCTATTCCAAGGGTTAATACAACCGACACTTTTTTATATTACAATAATTATAGAAATTATTATTGAACATGTCTTTCATTCGTTTTTTCGTATCACAATTAAACTGTTTCTCTTTTTTTATTGCCCATAGACATCTACAACGTAAATGCGCCACCCACCTCGAGATATAAATTCGAAGGTCTCAAGTATAGTTACAACAGCTGCCCCACCCTTTATACCGAAACGCATTACTGCTTCACGGCTGCAATAGGGAAGGCGGTGGTGCCTACCCGTGCGGACTCACAAGAGATCCTACGACCAGTACTTCACGGGTGAAATGTTAAATACAAAGCATTTAAAAAAACATACTGGAATGAAACTGAGCGAGAGTTTTAACAATATCAGAGATTTTTTTCCAGACACACTTAACCCAAATTCTTGATGTTTTTCTAACACTATACGCCATTCTTCATACAAGGTTGGGAAGCAAGGCCGACATGGGTGACTGTGATTTATTTTTTATCCGACACGCAAAGTTTTTCTTTAGCAGATGATTAAAATAACAAGTTTACCATTTATCTATAATATTTCTGTAGCAGAATGACAGTAAACTTTGCTAGTATAACATTTGAAGCCGTTGTTGATTTTTAATGGTAATAAGGGTAGCGTAGACGATTCCCACAGACACAGCTCACTGAGTCTCTCGCCGGATCTTCTAGTGAGTCGCGTTTCCGATCCGGTGGTAGATTCTGCGAAGCACTGCTCTTGCTCTTGCCAGTGTTAGCACCACTCCGGTTTGAGCCCCGTGAGCTCACCTACATGTTAGGGCGAAGCTGAAATAGCCTCTCAAGGCTATCAGCATAGGTAGGGAAAAAAAAGTAGACGATTTACACTTAAGGCGTGACTCCATATGCGTACATTAAGCCCGGGGAGCAACAGGGCCGTCATGATAATCGCCTTATCGTCGCCGCCTGATCACGCAGGAGACAGTCACCGTCGTCACCCTAGACACTTCCTTACGGATCCATCGGATCCAATAACCCCTGCATTAGACACCTTCAGCTCTAACACTAGGAGCAGACTTAGGGACCCCGGTAACTGTACTCGTCGAACTCAGCAAAGAGTTCGACGTGCAACCTAACCCATGCTTCAGCCTGCTGAGTTTCTCGCCAGATCTTCTCAGCGGGTCGCGATTCCGATCCGGTAGTAGATTAATTCGCGAAGCAGCTGCTCTTGAGTTGTTAGGTCTCCTTCGGAGGCGCTCGGGCAGCTGTTAGCTAATCCCACCCCTCCCGGCTGAGCCTTTGCGCGCCCACCTGTCCTGGTGAAACTGGAAAGGCCTGCAGGCCACCAGAAATCCTTCAATGATAAAAAAAGCAACAAGGGAAGTTGCTGCTTATTATACCGCGAAGCAGCGTTCCAATTTCAGGGATAGGGAATTTCAATTACGTCAATTGATAGTTTGACGTCATGTCTCAAAGTAAGTGAGCACACGTCTGATAGCCTCTGATACATCTTAATAAATAGGCATGTTTGCTCATTTAGTTATGTGGAAAGAACAAAAAATCTGATCCCATCCTTTGCACTCAGATTCAGAGGTAAGATAAAATTCAAAGTTAAGTTAACATATGTAGTCATAACAGATTTTTACTTACGTTAAGTACGTCTATCAAAACTGGTTAAGGTTTTATTTAATATTGGGAATAAGGAAATGCTGCTTAAGCCTGTTTATCTCTTGCAATAAATGAACAACTCAATGAACAACAATGAAGGGCAATAAAAAAAAACTCGTACATAAGCCAGAACATAATTTATTCCGTAATAACGCTCAGTCAAAGCTAATAGGTGAAATCTAATTATGTCAGCGATTATGTCAATGGCGGAAAACAAAGGGTCTACAATTAGAGGAGCTCTAAAAAAATTTTTTCCGAGTGTAAAGAGGTCTAAAAACCATTCGATTTACACCAGTATGGTGTCTGTGTTAATGCAATTTTTAATCTCAATTTCACGTTGATTCCGATTGTATTTTAGTATAACCTAATAAAATACGTACATCATTATTGTCTTTTTTATCATTATATCGCTTAAAACGGTGAGCTTTATTGGATGAGAGAAATATTTTTGGCACCTTATTATCAGATTGTCCTATAGCTGTGTCTGACTGAATAACTGAACCTTCTAATGTAGGTAATATTCACAATTTCAAAACGTTAAATTTACTTGAAATTTTTCAGATGTGTATCTTTTTTTTCTGCTGTCTATTCGCAGGTAGACTAATGGGCTTTTCTAGACACTCACGGACTGGTTGATGGTCTCAGCTCAACCTTGAGTTTCCTAACACTAGACCTAGCAAAAACAGTGCTTCACAGAATCTACCACAGGGATGGGAAAATCCGGTGAGAAACTTGGTGGGTTTTTTCTATGGGTAGACGTATCAAAGACGTTTCTTTGGCTTCTCGAATCAGCAGGGTTGTAAGTAGCGGCTCGACTGTGACTTTAGCATTGCTGATGTCTATGAGCGACAATAACCTCGTCTCCAAAAGCTGAAAGGTAGGCTTGTCTGCAAAACCAATAAGAAAATGTTGAAAGATGAACGTGTTTTCTAAGTTCTAAAACTATATTTATATACATACTAGCTGTACCCATCCGCTTCGCTGGGAATTTAAAATTAACATTGTTATTATTTCTCACCCCCACAAAGATTCTCATCATTAGCGCCCCCGCAACTGGTGTAGGGAGTCCAACACTCATATAAATATTAGCCTATCCATTAAGAACATGTATTTTCTACATGGATACCAAGTTTCAAGTCAATCGGGTGCACGGTTCAGTAGTTATAACGGAACATCAAAAACCACTGTAGATTTATATATTAGTATAGATTTTTTTAAATAAAACTAATTCATTTATACATTTAATTTAATTAATTTTTAAAACTCTTTTTCTTCTTTTTCTTCTTATTTGTCTGCAAGTCAAGCAAATCGTCTATTTCCTTCATGTCTTCACCTAAACGCTTCTCACCACTGAAAGGAAATATTAAATAAATATAAATAGTCGGATCTTGTTTTTTTTTAAAAGATAGTTCACCTAAAAAAAGAATTATTAAATTGCAAGTATTGTACAATATTGAAAATTATATTGTATATAATTTTTATAATTTTTTTATCAATCCCTGATTTTGGCTTGGCCCGAATTAATTGAAAATCATACCGTCGTTGTCAAACCAAAATCTGCTATGTGCACTTTTTGAGATTTTTACTTTTTGACCTTTTCGTATAGTTCACAGCCCTATCTACCGTATAAGAAAAACTGTTATGTGTCTATAGTTTTAATATTTATCTATAGCTTTCATTTGATATAGTTCTTAAAAATTCACCTTCATATAAAATTTTATACGAAAATGTTTTTACACGTTAATTCAAAATAGAGTTTTTGCACATAGCAGATTTTGGTTTGACAGCGACGATACAACGTTTTAAACACAAAATACTGTATAAAATCAAACATAGAAAATAATCGTATGAATGTACATTAATCTTGCATTAATTTATTTCAATGCAAGTCCTTACGTACTTTGATTTAAGGAGCATATTCGTTTACCTTTTGACGGACAGTATTGTCTTCTGTTTGGTGCTGGCTAGAGCCTGTCCCCAATCTAGGTCACTCCCCTTGATGCGGTACTGAGATAAATCCTCTCCCATCAGTTTCGATAATTCCTTACGTTGTTTGCGCTCTAAATCCTGCGACACACATTTTCAAGTCGATTGAAGTTTATCGGAGAGCCAAAGAAAAATAGTAATAGTAAATATTTTTCCATATAAAATTTAATAAATTACCAAACAAAACTACTTCGAAAACGATAGAATTGACTTGCGATTAAAAAACATTTGTGAAAGTAAAACTATGATTTATTATTCAATTTAAAATTCGCCAATGAAAAAGATATTATAGTATATTGATAGTATATTGGGTTTTAGGAGACCGCTTCCAAAAACGAATACAGATGATAGTACTAATGACACCTTTGATGATGGGAAGGAAAAGAAATCGATCCTAATTTAAAAAAAAATCCTTTTATTAGTATCATTTACGCTCCATCGTGTTAGTACCGATAAATGAAACGATAGTTTCATAAAAAATACAAAAATCAAAAACAGCTGATGCTCGGATCAACGAACTCCGGGCGTCGCGCATACTCACACGATCGCACAAATATTATTTACAACATTTGTCTAAATAACTATCATTAGTACTATCGTATTCCCGATCCTGCGGAAAGAATGGAAAGCAGTCGACGTCGCCCTAAGCACGTCATTTCGGATCCTCTCGATCCACTAACGGTGCTTTTAGGTACCGCAAGCACCGGTCATCGTTCTCGTCGAACCCGTCGCCTGCGACGAAGGGCTCGACGAGTAAATTAACCCTCAGACACAGCTCACTGAGTTTCTCGCCGGATCTTCTCAGTGGGTCGCGTTTCCGATCCGGTGGTAGATTCTGCGAAGCAATGCTCTTGCTAGGGTCAGTGTTAGCAACGTCGTCAGATTTGAGCCCCGCGAGCTCACCTACTAGTTAAGGTTACGCTGATATAGCCTCTCAAGGTTATCAGCTTAGGTAGGAAAAAAAAAGCTATAGTCTGTCTTCGTTTTCGGAAGCGGTCTCCTACTAACACCCGGTACAGCAAAGACTGGCAACACTAAAAAACTTATAATAAAAAAAAAAGACTAAGGAAAACCAAATCATTTATTCTTAAACCAAACGAACACCGAACCTACGAGCACAAATCCGATAATTACCTTGGCGGCTTTAGACAGTTCGTCTTGTAGACTCTGCTGCACTGGCTGCGCCGCGCCCGAGGCCGCCTTGTCCTCTATTCCTATCTCTTTCGCGGCGGAATCTTCTAGAACCGCGTTCAGAGCTGCGTTGATCTTCTTCGAGGCCTCGTAGAACTTCGCCAGGATCTGAGAGCCGGGCAGGCCCAGTTCGGACGCTATGTCGTCGACGTCTTTCATTTGGAATCCCATTGCTATGAAGATTACCTGGAAACGGGTTAGTATGTTACGGCTTAGGAAATCGTTTAAGACGATGCCTTCATCTTATTTTTCGGTATCGCCCCACACGCCACCGGAGCAGAGTTCATACTATCTAGAACCCCCTTGGAATTACTGATGTTCATGAGCAATAACCATTTATCATCAGGTAGACCGTATGCTCGACTAATTCCAAAAAAAAACGTTTTTTCTATGGTTAGCGAATTGTAGATGATACGAGGGGGCGTTTTTGTGTTCGCGGAATGGAGGATGTAGGGTGGAAAAAAAACCTGCAAGACGAATACATTTTTCGGATCTTTCAATTATACTACCTAGTCAGGTCATAAATTCTGTCACATGTTTAATGTAAAATAATGGAAACAAGTTTATTCATTATGTAACCATTCATACACCAAAATGAACTTAACAAAACATAGATTCTTATGACACTAAATTTATTCAAAATGACCTCCGTGATTTTGAATACAGGCCTTCAATCTGCGCGGCCAGTCGTCTATCGCAGCACGAACGAGGTCCATGTCAATATCGGCGGCTGCCTTAATCAAGGATGTCTTGAGTGACTCCAAATTGGGATGAGGCTTTGAGCACGCCTTTTCCTCCAAGTGTTGCCATATCTTGTAATCTAACGGATTCAAATCTGGACTGGAGGAGGGCCAGTCTTCGTGCCGGATGAAGTCGATTTCACGCGCCGCCAGCCAGTCTTGTGTGCTCTTCGCTCTATGAGCTGGCGCCGAATCTTGTTGGAATACCCAGTGCCTGTTATTGAACATGGTATGAGAAACAGGTTCCACAAGGTTCGTCAGGACTGTATTTTGATACACAACTGCATTCGTTTTTACACCTTTCTCACAAAAATGTACCTCTGTTAAGCCCCAATAAGAAACTCCCAACCATACCATGAGCGAGGATGGAAAATGACCTCGTTGGACACGCGGAATACGGTTGCTCGCTTCTTCACTACTGTGTGCGTACACCTTATCATTTTGTTTGTTGTAGCTCTCTTCTACGGTAAAAATTTTTTCATCCGAAAAAAGAATTTCCCGATATTTTTTTCCCGCGTACCGCTTCAACAAAGCGCGGCATCTCTTCAGTCTCAGGTCCATTAGACGAGCATTCAAACGATGTCCTGTTTTTCTTCGATATGCCCGAAGCCCTAAGTCTTCATTTAACACCCTTTTCACCGTGGTTCTGCTTAACCCCATCTGAAGGGCCAACAGTTTCTGCTTACGTTTGGGATTTCTTTGAATTCGCGCCTTCACAGCTTTTATCACTGCTGGAGTCCTAACAGACCGAGGGCGACCACTTCTTGACCTGTCATCTACACTAGAGTCTTCATTGTATCGTTTGATGGTACGATAAACGAATCTTTTGGTTATATTCAAATTTTTCAGTATGTTAAAAATTTGAATTGGCGCGTAACCGCAACGATGCAACGCAATAACTGCAACACGGTCTTCTTTAAGCGTCCACTCCATATTTAAAAATGAGTAAAATTCTAAAAGTATACATTTTTATTTTCATGAACAATTCGAAATTCGAAGTCAATAAACTTTTTTGTGGCCAGCATTCTAAAAGAAAAGTTTTTACTGTGTGACAATACTTATGACCTGACTAGTTATTTATACCTTTTTAGGAAGGAACTTTATAACGGCATGATATTCTATTTTATCCATATTTCACTTTTCACTCCCGATTATGTTGCTTGGTTGACGATAGCTCAAAGATTAATTGTCTGATAACAATGAAACCTTGTATTTATATTAATTATTTTTGTTTTTTTTTTATTGCTTAGATATTAGACCCTACCACCAGTATATATGTCGGAAAAATAATGTAATAATAATAAGGCGAAATCAAATTGTAAAATTAGTTTTTATTATTTCTACAACCCTATGATAGAGCTGAAGAAAATATCTTTTTTTTTATTGCATAGTTGGGGAACAAGCTCACAGCCCACCTGGTGTTAAGTGGTTACTGGAGCCCATAGACATCTACGACGTAAATGCGCCACCCACCTTGATATATAAGTTCTAAGGTCTCAGTATAGTTACAACGGCTGCCCCATCCTTCAAACAGAAACGCATTACTGCTTCACGGCAGAAACAGGCAGGGTGGTGGTACCTACCCGTGCGGACCCACAAGAGGTCTTACCACCAGTAAATTAATTATGAGTCACTAAACACGTTATCTTAATGAGCATAATCATCCCCCTCCAACCCTCTCATTACGCGATCTTAAAAATGCACCCTCTTAAATAAGACATGCAATTCCCCCCTTACAGGTTCCGTATGAACAGTCATGGATAGAAAGCCAGTTCGTGAGCTCACCTTCTGAACTGCATCCAGCTTGATGGTCGACTTAGTGTGGAAGACGAGTTCGGCCAGCGGCTGCAGCAGGTCCGTGATGAGCCTGTAGTCGGCCTGTTGCTTGGAGTAGGCCTCGAGCCTGGACAGGTCGTGTCCGGTCAGGTACTGCTCTATCAAGCCCTTTGTCAGCACTGTGGTGGGGCAAATGTTTTGATGATTATTGAAATGGAATAAAAAGCAAAAGTGTAGGATTCGCGGCGGGAACGCATATAGCGAAGTTGTTTGAATTGGTTTATTTCGTAAATTTAATGTTTCTTTGGGTTTAATTAGATAATAAAGGTGGTTCATAAATCGTACTGCGTCTATGAGAGTGTACGAGTCTGGGAAAATGAAACAAAATCCTCACACAAAGTCTTCGTAAATTTCTACCATTTTACTTGGACGTTATTTAGCATTAACTCATCTCGTTTATTCGTATGTCATTCCAATACATTACGATTTCAAATAAATCAACTTATATAAAATGAAGAATTTTATAAGTTTGATACTGGCAACATCGATTGCCATACTGAAAAAATAACGACGGAATAAGCTTCTTATCTTTTTTTGTTTTATTGCATAGATAGGTGGATAAGTTCACAACCCACCTAGCCCACCACCTGTCAAGTGGTTACTGGAAACCATAGATATTTTTTTGGTACAATTTTCCTTATTAGGAAAGGCAAGGGGATCTAAACCCATACATCCTTGTCTGTTCTATATGAAACCATAGACATCTACAACGCAAATGTCGCCACCTACTTTGAGATTTAAGTTCTAAGGTCTCAGTATAGTTACAACAGCTGCCTCACCCTTCAAACCGAAACGTATTACTACTTCACGGCAGAAATACGTACAAGCATGCCATACCGGGTTTGTTAACTTTGACGCTGTCAGTGACGAGCGTGGACAGTGCCAGCGCGGCGGGCAGCCTCCGCAGCGTCCGTGGCAGCAGGCGCGCCGCCCGCCGCGTGAAGTCCGCGCTGTAGGCGCCCAGCCACGCGGCGTCGCGCAGCGCCCGCAGCATTATGCACGAGTGCTCGCCCGTCAGCTCGTTCGCCTTTTGACTGACGCACAAAAAAAACGAAATGTTGCAATTGAAACTTATTATGCTGACGCTACATTAGTGGGCGAAGATTCGTGTCGCATTGGCGCTTTTTCTCCTACCTAGCATAGGTACCCAACGGCTTACAAGTAAGTTACGCAACATAATTCAGCCGCGAGGCAAACGTTTCTTCCTATTTCGATTAAGAGATAGAGATAAGAGATAGAACTAGAACTAGTAACTAGGACTGACATCATAAATGCCGTGATATCTGTGAAATCAGGTAACCGCCCGCACTAGATTGGTCGTAATGAGAATGACGAATGAAAGGTCTGTGGGCTGTGTCTATGGGTTAATTCGCTCATTGAGCTCATCGTCGCAAGCGACGGGTTCGATGAGGACGGTGAACGGTGCTTGTGGTACCTAAAAGCACCGTTAATGGATCGGGACGTTGGCGCGCTAAAAACGTCGTGTACGGGCATACGCAATGTCCTTGTCTACATTACGGCGGGCCAAGATTTGTCTCGTGTTGTGGTGTGCTGTGCGACAGAGACGTAATTTAAAATGGAGGGAGTAGTGGCGTTGCATTGTATATTGGTAAATTATTATTTCTTACAATTGTACATACGAGTATCATTTGCAAGATAATATGAACTCTATGGTATAGAAGAAAACAAGCACGTTCGTACAGCATTAAAGTCTGGACAATACTGAAGTGACGTAGGTATAGCCACCCATCTTGAGATATAAGTTTAAGGTCTCAGTATAGTTACAACGGCTGCCCCGCCTTTCAAACCGAAACGCATTACTGCTTCACGGCAGAAATAGGCAGGGTGGTGGTACCTACCCGTGCGGACTCACAAGAGGTCCTACCACCAGTAATAAAACAATTCAGTTTATCGTCAATTATTATTATTATTATTTTTTAGCGCCCCCATTTTTTCTACCTACTTAAAAACTACTATAGCGAGAGCTCAGCCGTTGTCTAACAGTCCTCCTAGATGAAATTACAAATCGCCTCCCAAGCCTTTTCAACACAACGCCCCCGTTTTTTTTGGGTCTCTTACCGCCCCCCATTGGGCCAGCAGCGCCCACAAGGTGGCGTTATCGCCCACTTTGGGAATAGCTGATTTAAATAATCGATCAAGTACCTCAGATAAACCGGAACGTATTTCTGCGACTTCCAGAACCTTAACAGATCTTCGGTGAGACCGAAGCTCGTGCCGAGGTAGTCCAAGTTCTCGGGCCGGACTTCTGTCAAACGTTTCAGCAGAGTAGGCGGTTTCGATCTGGAATCGTTCAAGCAAAAAACTAAATAAACCTCATTCAAATACGGTTTGTTTTCGCTCGCTCTAAAAACGAAATATTTAAGACATACCTTCACAATAGCGGAACGTAAAATAGTTATTTTTCGTAATTGAATGCAACAGTATGTGTGACGTCATTTGAGGTTAAAATTATTGACAAGCTAGTCATAGATTATGCAATAATATTTACAAAGCAATAATATTCGATTTTTTTTTTACAACCAATGTTAGTTACCTTTTGTTCAGGCCAGTGCCTTCAATTCTTTTATAGCATATGTCAAAGATGCTAACCTTCTAAGGCGCTAAGCATCACTATATAGTAACATATTATTGTATTCACTACCCGCTCTTCAAGCACGCTGTACATCTCTCAATTTAAATAATATAAGAATAATATCAAGTGCTGGAGTTTTATTACCACAAGAAACTCCCTTATGTATCTCAAGCAGGTACGCATTTAGTGTTTTGAAATCTAATAATTAATTATATTATAATGGTATACAATTTGAAATATGTTCTGTTTATAACAATGAACAAATTGAGGGTAGTTTCGTTAAATTTTTAGGATCTATTATACGGACCTCGGAGCGATGGTCTCTGTCTGCAGCGTGCTCTGTGCGTCTGTCTGTCTGTCTGTCTCTGCGTCGGAGGCGTCCTCGTCCAGGCACGGAATGTCTCCGCTGTAGTACGCGGCCAGCTGCTGCAGAGCTCTCTTGCCGTACCCCATCTATGATGCACAATCTAATGATATACTGGTCACCTTCATTAAATAAAGTATCAGTTATCCTAAATTTAAAACGTGGGATAGAATTATTGAAATCGAAAATATAAAACTAGATTAGATTGTAATATTTTTTTTACATAGTACTTGCAATAATTACAAAGCATTTTGTTGATAATGTTTCATATTTTAAATTGTAACTACGCGTATTTATATATTATATATTAATTTATACATATATTAAGGTAGGATGTGTATGATAGTTCTAATTAAAAAAAAATCATTTCAAAATTTAAATCGTTATTTAACGGTTTATTGGCACCCCGCGGAATTACCAAATTTCTGCACAAAACAGTCAGACATTTCCGTTGAAGAGTGAGACGGTTATCATACAATTCGAAAAATAATAAGACGAATAAAGTCATTTGATTCGGTTATTGTTGTTTGATACCGGAGTAAATTAACCCACAGACACAGCCCACTGAGTTTCTCGCCAGATCTTCTCAGTGGGTTCGCTTTTCCGATCCGGTGGTAGATTCTGCGAAGCACGGCTCTTGCTAGGGTTCGTGTTAGCAACGTCGTCAGGTTTGAGCCCCCTTGAGCTCACCTATTTGTTATGGCTACGCTGAAATGGTCTCTATAGACCAGCCTTTCCCAAAGTGGGCGATAACACCCTCTTGTGGGCGCTGCAGACCTAAAGGGGAGCGGTAAGAAACCCCGAAAGAAACAGGGGCGTTGTGTAGAGGCTTGGGAGGCGATTTGTAATTTCATCTAAGAGGACTCTTAACATCGATTGAACTCTCGCTATAGTGGTTTTTAAGTAGGTGAAAAAATGGGGGCGCTAAAAAATTACTTATTCTCAAAGTGCGCAGTAGACAAAATAAGTTTGGGAACCCCTGCTCTAGATCATCAGCTTAGGTAGGAAAAAAAAGTTGTGTGACGTTGTTTACCCGTTGGTAGGCAGGATGCGTGGCGATCCTCACGATCCTGGCGCCGGACAGCTTCGGGAAGTCCTTGTCGCCAAACTGTTCGCAGATGTTCCAGGGTATGAGGTCGCCCGCAGCCTTGCGACCCCGGCCGAGGCTGTCCCGCACCGACCTGTTCATATCAATTGTGATGTACTGACAGTGACTTTTTGGCGGGAACGCGAGGAGTGAAGTTGTGTAATTTGTTTTATTTTGCCCATTTAGTGTTTCTTCAGGTTTAAATGTGTAATAACGGTGGTTCATTAACTGTTTAATATCTGTGAAAGTGCACAAATGTGGGAAAATGAAACAAATCCGCTGGACGTAGCTTCTCGGGATCCTCTAAAAAGTCCACTGAAAAAATCTCAGTAAATGACCACCATTTTACTGAGATTAAATTTCATCCCATATCATCTCATTTCATTTAATTTCATCCCAGTTGATTAATGTCTCAAATTAATCATCTTCATTTCATTTCATTTCACTCTATATTATCATTGTTCATAAAAATAAGAACATAAATTAAAATAAGACATGACCTAAAAGTCTTAGTTACCAGGTCATAAAATCCCTTACAAAAATGTACTGACTGTACTTTTTACTCTGAAGTACGTGAGTACGTACGTAGTCTCGTGAGCCCACATGGATGAGTACCACCACCCTATTTCAGCCGTTAAGCAATAATGCATTCCGAAGGATGGGAGCGATTACATCGTTGACGTCTATGAGTTCTCGTTACGGCCGTTTTCCAATTACAGCACAAGAGCGCATTATTGGAATACTACCATTAAGTAATGATTAATTACAGAGCATAATGCGACTCAGTGATGCACAATGCCGAATTATGCTGAAGCTTAGTTGAGCATTATGCCGCATAATGCGCTCTTGTGCTGCAATTGGAAAACGGCCTACTACTGAACACTAAATGGCCCACGAGAATCTAAGCCCCTTCGAGGCTAACGTCGAACAGATCTCGTGGTAAAAATTCAAATACCCACAGATTGGTTTCGAGTAGTATGTTTATACCAGTGATTCTCAACCACTGTTCCGCGGCACTTTTGTGTGCCGCCAAATTTTGCGAATATATAATAATGTTAATATTATTAAATTATATCATTTTAAAAAATATATATTTTAAACATGAATATATATTTAAACACAAAAAAAAAATTAAAGTATATTTTAGTTTATTTCGTATATTAAAATTTTTTGATAAATTATTTATGCAGTGTGTTGTAGTAAGTAAATAATTTTTATCTTTTTTTTTGTGTGCCGCCAAATTTTGAAATCGTTAAATATGTGCCGCAACAAAAAAAAAGGTTGAGAATCACTGGTTTATACAAATATTGACTATTAAGAATACAATTGCATCAAGTGTGCATGGTATTCATATAGTCCGTACACTAACGAACAACAGGATCGTACTTGTCGGATATGTTTCCCTCTAGGCACAGTTGCAGCACGCACAGCAGCTCGGGCAGGGCGGCGGCGCGGGGCGGGGGGGCGAGCAGCACGAACAAACAGTGCGCAGGCGCGTCCGCCAGCAGCTGCAGGTCGTTGGGACTGTTCTGCGGACAAACCACCCTCATGGTCACACGGGTTCGACTCGGCCGCGACCGGTGTGCTTACTGCAACGTTTTTAACGTTCTCGATAGCGTAAAAGTTAACTCGAATTTGTATGGAGTTGGAGCAGCGACCTTAGCGGCAAACGTTCTGTTATGGGAATTCACTCAGAGGTCGTTTTAAAAAAGGAAACTTTTAGGATACGAACTATTTGATTTGATTTATACAATATGGATGATATACGTAAATCTCAGAGCAACCCCGGCAGCGGCACCCGTACTCTAAGACAGTTCACTCTCTACCTTTTCTTCGATCTCCTGTAAAGTCTCCACCTCGGACTGTCTAGTCAGCGGTTCGAAGGTATCAGCGTTTTAGGGTTCAGTACAGAGATATAACAGTTCCAACTCCATACAAATTTCAGTTAACTTTTACGCTATCGAGAACGTTCAAAAACGCGCACCAAGCACACTGGGAGGTGAAACGCGCGGTCGACTCGTATCGAGCAAATGCATTGAAGTAGTTATGAATATCTTTTTTTCCTACCTAGCTGAGAGCCTTGAGAGGCTATTTCAGCGTAACCTTAACAAATAGGAGAGCTCACGGGGCTCAAACCTGACGACGTTGCTAACACGAACTCTAGCAAGAGCCGTGCTTCGCAGAATCTACCACCGGATCGGAAACGCGACCCACTGAGAAGATCCGGCGACAAACTCAGTGGGCTGTGTCTGAGGATTAATTTACTCCATTCAATACTTTAATTAAGTTTACTCCATACTTTAATTAAGTTTACTCCATTCAAATTGATGAAGAAGCTTTTTGGTTATAATATTTTTTTCAAATTTTAAACTTTAAATGGCTCTCTTAAATCAACAAGCCTTCCACCACTTGATATGTATCTATTATATATATATATATCTATTATATATATATATATATCTATATATATATATATATATATCTATATATATATATATCGATATACCTTATAGTGACTGGCGACGTAAATGGAGACTAGTCGATGTAAGAACGCCTCGGCCGCCTTGTGATAGCAGAACAGCGCGTCCCTGTTCACTCGGTACAGCTCGCAGGCGGCGGGGGGCGGAGCGCCCACCCCCATGGACGGGGGCGGCGCCTCCAGGCACAGGAGCGAGTTCAGCCATGATTCTATTGGATCCCCGGAGCGATAACGAATCGGTTCGTCTAGTTTTATCTGGAAATGTTTTTATTAAGTCTACCTTTGATATCCAGCACGTAATAATTTTGATTCTGTTTTTAAAGGACACAGGAAAAAGAAATTATAAATATATATAATTTATATTGCTTATATGGGTCGACGAGCTCACAGCCCACCTAGTGTTAAATGGTTACCGGAGCCCATAGACATCTACAGCGTAAATGCGCCACCCAACTTGATATAAGTTCTAAGGTCCCAAGTATAGTTGAAATGGCTGCCCCACCCTTCGAACCGAAACGTATTACTGCTTCACGGCAGAAATAGGTGGGATGGTGGTACCACGCAGACTCTTATTTTCTTAATGATAATCAGTGAAGATAATATTTACCGGAGGGGGGGCATTATGTTGGGTCTGTAGCTGTGCGAAGAGCTTCAAGGACAGAGCCCGTCCGGTGCCTTCATATCCGGAGACAGTGGACGACAGCAGAGCGAGTGGGGCCTTCTGGGCGGCCGCGGCTACGTGCACCAGCGGGATGGCTGCGGCTTCATCCACCAGCACCAGGTCAGCAGCCGACAGTAGTGAGTGGTCGTCTGGGGTTATGTACTACAAGAAAAAATGAAATTTATTGTTTCCACGTTGTAGTTGCTTTTATTTGCTTACTTCGGATTGTTATTTATCAATCTTTATTTCAGAATAAAATTTATTTTATAGTTCGCTGTCCATTGTCTCCAGGACATAGCCTCTCAAGGCGATCAGCATAGGTAGGAAAAAAATAGGAATTTGGCTATCCATTATCAAGTTTGAGCCTCTAGTTTTAAAAAAATCATTCGATTTTGTTTGTTATACCTAAAAAAATTACTTCCTAGAAACAACCATACATATTTCATGTCTTAAAATCAAATTTATCACTATAATTTAAGTGCATGAATACAATACATACTTGTACAGTCTGTCTAGAGTTCCTAGCGATATTGACTCTGACAATGGCCTTCTTGAAATCCGGATTCGTTGATCTCACGATGTTATAATCAATGTGCTCTTGGTACAAGCAAGCGTCGAGACCCCTGAGTAGGAACTCGAACAGGGTGATCAAGTTCTCGGGATGGGGAGAGGTCACGTAGATGTTGACGTAGCCGAGTGCTACGGCGGCCGCTACGGCGAGCCCCAGGCATGCAGACTTACCGCGACCACGGGCGGCCGTCAAGCAGTGCGGAGGCCTGAAATAGTTAATAAATCAAATATACATCTGTTGCAATATTTTTTTTAATTAATATTGATTGCAATAGAATAATGCGGTGTCCTATGACTTAAAATAGAACAAAAAATGACTTTTTTGCAAGAACAAGCAAAAGATCATTTGAACTTTTCGTTCGACTTCTGAAATTCTGTTAGTCGACATAATTTAAAACTTTTAAAGTTTAATCGTGCGTTTTTTTTTTGTGTTTAAATTAATTGTGACCTTTCAAATAATTCACACTTTTCGTGGTCATCGAGATATATGAATATTTTGCAAAACTAAACTAGGCTCAACGATATGGCTTTGACTCAAATATGTAAAATTTAAATGAATTAAACAAATTTTCGTTATTGAACATCCCTAATTCTTACCTTGATTGCTTGTCTGCTAATGTGTTGATGAGTGCAATCAGGGCCGTTGCCTGGTCATATGTCCGAGTTAAAGCCACTAACGGTCCTGCAGGTGGAGAGTCGGATAGTGATGATATGAGCTCAGTCAATTTTGGGTTAACACGCTAGAACAATATTATATGACTAACTATAATGTACAAGACATGACAATGTGTTCAATTTGTTATTAAACAGAATGAAAGACTGCATTTGTTTTAGGATAAAGAATGGCTTATAAGAGGTTTTAATTAAGAACAAGATATCTGATGGCTTAAAATACTAGGTTATTTACTAGCCACAATAGCAAATAATAGAGTGGAGTGAAAACTGCTGCCAGAGGACTTTGTGAATTGAGATTGCACTAAAGGGCTGTGTTTAAAAATAATCAAAAAGCAAAATGAGATATTCCACATATGTCTAGTATTTTTTTATTTTACATTTACATAATTATATTTTATATTATTTAATGGGACGTTCAGTCTCCAAATACCAAATATCTTTCATTATGATATTGACTCTGAACTGAAATCTAACAGAGACATAGTGTTTGTCGTATTGTAGTCAGAGTCGCCAACCAAATTACAATGAGCCGATCGAAATGAAATTTGCATTACATTTATACAATTTTATAATTTTATCTCTCAAAATTCATAACCATTTTGTTGACCTTCATTATATTCATCAAAATAATATATAAATTACAATAAAAATTTCAAAAAACTATTTATTACCTCTGGTGTAGCATCTACAGGGTCGATTTGGGCAGTTTTGGATGATATCGGCAGAACCGTCAGTGAATCATCAAGTACCAAACATCTAGGGTTATCTGCTAGAGACAATAGAAATCTTTCATTGAAACGATTGACCACTGTGTCATAGGCTTCAGTTTTGAATCTGTAAATTAAATATAAATTTTATTTAATTTCTCTTAAAAGTATTATAAAATTTATTGTGAAAATATTAAATTAACTAAAATTGTAGTTGTCACTGGACGTTTATACTGTTCTCATGAGATTATAATGATATGGTATTTAAATGTAGTAGGGTAATTTGCATTTTAATTGGGATCAATTATTGTAGAGCAACTCTTCAAGAGAGCTTGTCAATTCGTGTATTTAAATAATAATAATACAAATGGCGCAACACACTTTATTTAAAAGTTCTTTTTTCATTACAGTATTGTATTAGAAACTAGCGACCCGCCCTCGCTTCGCTTCGGAAACTGTAATTTATTATTGATTTCTCCACTATTTAATGGATGTTATTATAAATATAAACCTTCCTCTTCAATCACTATCTATTAATAAATACCGCATCAAAATCCGTTGCGTAGTTTTAAAGATTTAAGCATACATAGGGATATAGGGACAGAGAATGCGACTTTTTATACTATGTAGTGATTATATAATATTATTATAGATAGTATAGATATGTATTTAGTTTCTTATATAAGGTACTCACAAAACGCCCTACCACCATCACTAGTACCTAATTACAATTTTGTCCCTATGTATGGACAGACAGATATAGGGACAGAGAAAGCGACTTTGTTTTATACTATGTAGTGATTAAGAACAGAATAATACCTTGAGTGTACATCCATTGTTATTGAATGTAGCTGTCTTAGAGAATCCATGGTTTTAAGTAAGAATATTATAAGACCACCCCCTTCTACAGTTTCAATTGTTCGTGCCATCAAATTGGGGGTGAGAGCTTCAAAATCCTAAAAATAAAGGTCATATACATTAAACCAAAAATTTGACCTCATGTCAGAACATCATTGGATTTTTTTTATATTGCTTAGATGGATGGACGAGCTCACAGCCCACCTGGTGTTAAGTGGTTACTGGAGCCCATAGACATCTATAACGTAAATGCGCCACCCACCTTGAGATATAAGTTCTCAGGTCTCAAGTATAGTTACAACAGCTGCCCCACCCTTCAAACCGAAACACATTACTGCTTCACGGCAGAAATAGGCAGGGTGTTGGTACCTACGTGCGCAGACTCACAAGACGTCCTACCACCACTAAAAAATTAAAATTTAATTTAAAAATTGAAAGATTTTTTACTGTTTGCATTTTACCATGAAAAAATTAGGTTATTGGATGGTAGCCAATAACCAAATTTTACATGAGCTACTCTAGTTTTTGGTGTAGCTTTATATAGCGTACCTTTCAAAACATGTCTTTTTAATTTGTAACTTACTTGCAAAACGCAAACTCCATATGTCTGACCGAGCATTGCATGACTTTCCGAATAATATCTACCATGAATAGTAGTGGCCACTCTGAATGCATCAAACAGTGATTCTTCGGAGACTTCCAGTTTTCCAGCTGCTATTTTCTTGGCTCTTTTACGGCCATGACTAAAAGGAATTCATTTATAATCAATATTCTTAAAGTATGAAATCATGTATTGTTTTGGGTAGTTAACTATTGTTACAATACAATTGTCTAAAAATTGTTACTTACTTGCTAATTGCTTCATCTTTGTTCTTATAGCACCAGAGTACTGTTGGTCTAGCCTTTACTGTCGATTTGACTAACATATCATATAAAATGGGCACCTGAAATAAGTTTTTTTAAGATTTTTTGTTAAATTGATTTAAAATGCGATTTGCGTGACACGTCTTGCTGGATATAGATAGCTAATGTACCAATTGTTCTCATTGCAACTTGATATCTCAGGCAGGAATAATTGTTGTGGTGTCTGAGAAATTTGAATGATAGAAATGTTTTTTTCTCACAGAAAAATTAATTACATTTAGAAATATAATATGTGCATCACAAATTTTAATACCGTACATTTTCATAAATATAAAGCCAATATTCAAATATCAATGTAGATATGTATTACAATTTGAGGGAATTCATATAGAGTCCCTTCTTTATTTCGCCTGGTCGTGTTTTATGTAATTAACACCACAGTTGGAACAATATAAATTTTATTGTTGTAGCGGCATAAAGTAATTACATTAAATTAGTTATTTAACACATTATAAATTATTTTTATGTTTTTCATATTTTGGCGGTAAAAAGGAATCGTGTTCACAGACTATATTCTTTTTCCCACATCTCGTGCGTTCCGGCTTACCCATAATAAATCGCCACAAATTGTATTGTTTTTAGATACTTAAGTTTTAAAGACAGGAAAAGTACATAGGTACTTGTATACTGTGTACTTGTATCTGCTTAACATGAAGTCTTAAATTTTATCACCATGCTTATTTTATTATTTGAAGAATTTTTCATTTACCTGATCTCTGCTTTTGTCTCCAATGAGAAGAAACATAGTGCGATGGCCAAGTTTAACTCCATTCTCTATCATAACCCTGATACGATTATCAATTTTCTTTTTCACCATTTTCGGATATGTTCAAGCAAATCTATTAAACTAGGTAGGTAGCGTTAAATATTGTTTAAAATTTTATAACCTACAATTCAAAACAAAAGCACACTTCATGTTATTTGTTTGATTGATCTAATAGACAGGCAAAGACAATACAGCCCATACTACCGAGACTTACTACAAAAGCTGAAGCCAAGCTTATTAATGTAAGGTAAACTAAAAGTAGACGAAACGAGATTTGAAGATATAAGTAAGGCGAGACTAGACTAGACAAGCTCGGACTAGACTAGACCAGAACAGGCTAGGCCTGACCAGGCTAGGTCTAGACCAGACTAAACTAGGCTAAACTATATAATTCATTCGGTTAAACGTGTCAGAATGACCCATAGTAAAAAAATAGTGCAACGAATTTCGTATCATAAATACAACAAAAGATTGCAAAATAAGTTTACAAGGCTCTTTCAAAAATTTTTGCTAAATTTAATCTTATAGGGTGCGTTCCACTAAGCGTTCTCAACGAACACACTCACGACCGCAATTTTTCCCGTTCCACTTGCTTGTGAGCGTTACTGTCGTAAACTCAAGTGGAATGGAATAAAGAGCGTTTTGAGCGTGGAGGTAAATAATACAAAGGGTGAGTTAACAAAAAGATTTAATTTTAGAATTAATTAATTAAATAATTTAAAGAATTAATTTAATTTTTTATATTTAATACTAGTGGTGCATTTAATTAATTTACTTTCAAATGTAATTAAAATGTCTTTTGCGGTGGCACTTGGATATTTGGTAAGAGGTCGCAATAATGTTCCAGATAGTATCTCTTTCCGCATGAAATAACGTAAGCTTAACGGTCGCCATTTTTTATGCTTTGAGTTTTGAAAACGCCGCTAATTTTCTCAACGATCACTTCGACCCACCTTTTTAGATAGATCCTCGTGATCTTCGCGTGAGCGTAAGTTATGACGTCATAAGTGACGTTTTCGCCGCGACCACAACGACCGTGGTCGTTATGTGGAACGACTAAAGGAGCATTTCGATCGTTGTGGGTGCTTTGTGGAAAGGGCAGCGCACTCATTTGGTAAGGTCAGTATTACTACGTTTACTTCCAACACAAATTTGTATATTTTGGTATGTGGCCAGCTTAATTTTTACTTTGATTTAGATAGCAGTACCTTGTGTAAGACATAATTTAAGGGCGGCAGAAGAATAATTACTTCATTATGTTCAAGTATTTAATCTAAAACAATTTACTTGAGAAAAAAATCTTTGGCAAATCCTAATAAAACCCTATTTACAGTTTTCGACTGGACTTTGAGGGACATCTTGTAAAAGAGAATTAATTGTATGGTGTGAAACGCTGATTTTCCTGTTAAAAAATTTTAATCAATAGTACTACTCTGTTAACATTATGTGTATAATCTATGCTGTTAAGTCAACTGTCAGTCAAAACTGGAAGTTTGTGATAAGTGTGTTTTGCTGTTACTTGTTACACATTCAATATTAAAAATAAATCGCTTTAAACCACAATACATAATTCCATCACTCACTTAACTAAATAACTTAATTTCTATTTACAACACCGTTATTGACGGCATTCGAAGAAAGTGATTTTGCTGAACGTCGGCTTCTAACAAATTTGGTCTCAAAAAAGCCGATGAACATTTTACCGCTACAATGACTGAAAAAATGTCCAAATTTCAAATAAATACCAAATCCAAGACTTATTTGAAGGACAAGGAGGCCTTCCTGAAGGATTTAAGACAGTTCAATGAAAGTAAAAAGTAAGTATAAACATTAAATGCTAGCCCACTCAGTGCTAGATTTTAGTGCTATTAATACTCACAAACACACTGAACACTGAAATTCAAAATAATGTTTTCTCAATGAAAACATTGCAACATGGTATGTTTTATGACATAGGAAATTTAGGCGAAGAAAAAACACATATGAGTACTTTCATGCACAATAATAATTTTTGTGCTCCTATTTTATAGTTGTTATAAAAAAATGTACAGAATTGAGTGAATTTTGATTTTATAACTCATCATTTAAAAAATAACCATAAATGTCAAGGTTTGGATTATTTTAGATGTTAGATTTTGTATATGATAATGCTATTTACTGAATATACCAGGAAACTGTATTTTTGCACATACCAATTCTGCTTAAACTAATTATTAAGTCCTTAAGTTAATTTAGAAAATAAAATTGTGACTTATATTCACTGCATGGTTTTGAGATAAGGCTGTATTAAAGCTCATTGTTACCTGCACTATATTAAAAACTGGGCAAACAATGACAAAGAAACAGTGGTAAATAAATAAAAAATTATATAGTACATATTTATCTTTTATTTTTAGTTCACCATGTCTTTATCTTTTACAAAATTGTTAGAATCATTTGGGAATTCATATTATCTAGTTATCTGGAGACTGCCCATTAAATATAAATTCGAACTTGAAAATAGGCCTTGAAAATAGAATTTGAATAAACGGTCGATAATTAATGAAAATACTTATGTTTTTAGCATTGTGACAAAACCGGCATACGTGAATGGTATTGAGATTGATTTGTATCACTTCTACACATTGGTCCAACAAAGAGGAGGTATTGGAAAGGTTAGTATTAATTATGTTACATGAAGTCGTAGCGTAAATGATTAGACACCCAATGCTTTCATATCAAGCAATATGTGCCTATGTTCAAACCCACAGAAAGGTACCAACTTTTTAATGATATATCTACTTAATAAATGATCATAAATGAGCTCCACAGTGAAGAAGACTTTGTGTAAAAATCAAACTCACAAAAATTCACAATTGGTAGAAGCCATTTTGTGAGTCCCCACTGGTAGGCACCAACACTAGGAAATCTGTTTACGGATACCCGGTCTAGGGGGGTAACAGACAATGAAGCAGTATTGAGTTTTAGTTTGATGGGTGGGACAGTTGTTGTATTGTAAAAACTGAGACTTTAAACTCATGTCTCAAGGTGGATGGTAGCATTTGCATTGTTGATGTGTATGGGCTCTGTTAACTGGTCCACACCAGTTGAGCAGTGAGCTCACACATATATCTAAGCAGTAAAAAAGCCATTATTTTTCTTTATTACTTTTACCTAGATGTTAAATTTATTAAAATACATTATTGAGTCACACAGTTGGTCGTTAACCTGTTACTTAGTAGTAGGTTAATCAAAATGTTAATGGCTGGAAAACTAAAATTGCACATAGAAAATGTGTGCAGTACTGAGGCTGTATTTGCACACTATTTATTTAGGTCTGTCTTCTTCTTCTGTATATACTTTTTGTGCATATGTAAATCTGCACACGTAGATATTATGCATATTTTCAATGTGAAGCTCATTCTTTGTAGTCTGAAGAACGGGACAGCTATTAAACGTACCTGTAAGTCTCAAAATAGATGGTAGTGTTTATTTCGTTGTCTCTATGGGCAGCTTTAAAAATTGCACTAGTTCATATACATATGCCATGTTAGATTCTCTTTTATTAATATCTCTAATTTCTGTTTTTTTTTTTTGATAAAGTTCTGTTTTTTCTAACTGTAAGCAATCTTCAATATAATTCAATATCAAATGTAATAATCTTTTCATCTTATGTTTTTACCTTGCCTTCATTTCCTGCATTATGTACTGAAGCCAACATTTTATCATTAATTCATTCAAATAATTTAAATTGTTAGGTAAATCAAAATGATACATGGGAGTCTTTCCTGAGACCTTTGCGATTGCCTCATCCATGTATCAATGGATCAACACTACTGCGAAGGATTTATTCGTCTCATTTGGAAAAGTAAGTTGACAAAAATTTTAGGCAAATGTGAACAATAATTGGTTAAAAGCTTTCAATAATTTAAATTAAGAATAAATGTGTACATATCACTATATTTGTTGGATATTGATTGAACATTACTAAATGTAAACAATAACTTATAAAACAAATAAATCAAAAACTATAAAATAAATAGGAAGTTTATTTATGAAATTTAAGGGCTTCTTTACAATTGAAGAACAAGTAAATGATAATTTCAAGACTTTCACAATTACTTAATGTCCAAACATGACTGTAAATTTTTTGATATTTCATATATTTATTTAAAATAATCTTGAACTCATGGGGTGCAGGTATTTAAGGCAGGTGCATATTACACAATAATATTATGTTGAATTTATTGTTATGGTATATTGTTTTTATCAGATATGAACGAGCGAAAGGACCACCAGGGCGTGATGATGATAACGACCTGGACGATGACCCCAGGCGAGGGAGAGGCAGTGGTATGCCCAGGATTACTACTTTCGGAGGCGGTACTTATGTCTCAGGTATAATGCTCATAAGCAAGATACATTTATATTGCGAATTTTCGGTGCTGTGGAGGTGTTGGGATCTTGAGTGAATATAATTTTTAGTTTACTTATCAGCAAACGATGTAGAGTGACAATATTCATTTGACAAGGCATGATTAAAAGTTTTATGAAACTGCAATGTAAAGTAGGTAGGGACTTGGCTGTGCCACTGGCGTTGCTGACGGCCATGAACGATGGTAATCACTTACCATCAGGTGAGCCGTATACTCGTCTTCCCACAAAGGCAATAAACAAAAGGTAAACATCAGTAGCGTGACACTGTAATCTTCTACACTCTTCCATAAATATATAAAAGTAATTCGTGTTAGTTACACTATTTATAACTCAAGAACGACTGAACTGATTTGGCTGAAAATTGGTGGGGAGGTAGCTTAGAACCAGGAGAAGGACATAGAATACTTTATCCGTCTTGCAATCGTCATGTCCATAAACAAATCACCAGGCCAGTCCTTAAAAGTTTGTGGCCTGAATCTAGAAAGTCCATGTTTTTCCCATGGTGAATGATATGTGGCATGTTCACGGTTCGGAAGGCCATCTCCGTTATTTGTTCTTGCGCTTGATAATAAAACGAAAAACGTCGTCTATCACAAGGTGCTTCACTAAAGAGTGGATGACTAAAATACATGGCCAATAAAGAATCATTAAAATACTTGCTTTTTTAATTTACATTAATTATCCAAATAAAAAAATTGATCTTGATAAAATCAAAAGTCTGCTCTTTTATTGCCTCTAAGGCGGAACAAAGTTCGCTGGGTCAGCTAGTTTTAAATAAAGAGATTAAATGTAAGTACCTACATGAAGAAGATCGCTTAGTTAGTCTAAAGTCAAGGTTTCAAGATTAGGTTCCTGTTTTGTGAAAGATATAAGCTGTTTTTCACTGTATTCCCTCATGTCTCGCATTTAAGTTAAATGTGGAATGCTTAGACCCCGCAGACTTCTCAGAATGGGTTTTGTCTTGCCTTATCAAATAGTTTTGGTTTTAATCTTAATAACTAATATTATAAAGCTGAAGAGTTTGTTTGTTTGAACGCGCTAAGCTCAGGAACTACTCGTCCGATTTGGAAAATTATTTCAATGTTAGATAGCCCATTTATTGAGGAAGGCTATAAGCCATATTTACCATCACGCTAAGACCAATACAAACGGAGCACCAATAAAGAATGTTTCGAAATCGTTTTTTTTCCTATTTCCCTTTTAATGTATGACAGAATTGTTCCTCTTTAAAAGATCTAACAAAAATCCGAGACAGCATGTCTATGTGTTAAGGTTGGCTCATTATAACGTTTTTTATGCTAACCAAATTTGTTCTAAAATAAAGCATTATTTCTGAAGGTGTTTACTTAGTGGTGGTAGGACCTCTTGTGAGTCCGCGCGGGTAGGTATCCCCACCCTGCCTGTTTCTGCCGTGAAGCAGTAATGCGTTTTGGTTTGAAGGGTGGCGCATTTACGTTGTAGATGTCTTTAGGCTCCAGTAACCACTAAACACCAGGTGGGCTGTGAGCACGTCCACCCATCTAAGCAATAGAAAAAAAAAAGGTGTTCTTATAGAGGTGATATTGAATAAATGAAGTCGCGGGTAAAATTTAGCGTTATGCCAAAGTAACTATTCTACGCGGACGAAGTCGCTGGGAAAAGCAAGTCTTAATTATATTATGTTGTAACAAAATTGTGTATATGCCTGCAGCATCAGGAGAGGCTCTGCGTCCGGCGCCGCGCGTGGCGGCTCCCTACGAGCGCCTGGCGCTCTCGCTGTTGTCTCCAATGCCGAACGAACAAGACTTCGCCGTCAACGTGTGCACGGTGCTGGCCGCGGACCATTCGAACCGCCTACCGCTGGGCACCACCCCGCACATACTAGACTTCCTACTGGCTCATGCCGGTGTTTACAATCATTGTGAGTATGAGATTTTGTCTTGAGGTCGTTATTTTTTATTTTTGGTGATATTACTCTAAGGACATGCATGTGTTTGACGCGAAACATACCATAACGGGTCAATGATCCGTTTTGAACTTTTACATTTGTAAATGCACGTATCGTCTTATTGCTTTTGCACATTTGACTTCATGACTTTTTCTTCTCAATTAATCTACAGTTATTATACTTTTTTTTTTGTTTTGTTTATTTTGAGTAATACTTGTCGTATACCGTTATCTACTCGCTATGGTAGAAAAATACTAATCATACCAACACTTACTGGTAAGTATATGATTAGTATTTTTCTTACTTACCAGTAAGTGTTGGTATGATTAGTATTAATTAAATCACATTTGTATTGTACAGGACTACAAAGTCAGCTTTTAAAACAATTATGTCAACAACGGTGTTGGCATAATGTATTTAATTATAAATGAAATATATTGTAAGGAAACTTACAGGGCATCTTAGATTAAGTAGTTATTGCTTAGGCCATGGACTTGTTCAATCATCTATGCAATATAAGAAAATTTAGGGACGCTAAGTTAATGACTAAGTACATTCACATAAATTATATTTAAGAGAATAAAAAAAAAAAAACTGTAACTAAATTACAATACATGGATGTGATAATGTTAATGTAAAGTGAATAATCAAGTTTTGACTTCTAACATAACACGGCTGTAACACCACATGGTATTAAGGCTTACATCTTTTATAAAATTAGAGGTCCCGCATTAGGTAGTCGAAATTCGACTATAATTAATTAGAATTGTAAGTGTGTACACTATTATGATTGTATTTTCAACGCCAAGACTACACTATAGAAAAATATTAATAAAGACAAACAATATTTAATCTATTCTCAATTTGACCACAGACGTCAAGAACAAAAATTTGACAATAAATTAATAGTATGCATGTGTGTGTGTGTCAAATACATGGTATGTGTGTAATGTTTTCTTTATTGATTTAATGTATCTTTTATGCATTCTTTTAAAAAAATATTAGCATTGTGCACTTCTTCTCTATATTCTCTATAAGTGTGGAAAATTTCATACTCCTCCGTCCGCGCAATTTTCGTAAAAAGGGATACAAAGTTTTTTCTTCACGTATTATATAGATTATATAGATAATGTTATTGTGAATTTCAACAACAGCAAGTCTGCGTGACACGATCGGAAGGTCGTACTACGAAGCCCGAGGCCGAGCCCCGGACCAGTTCTGGAGCATGCGGGCCGGGGGCGGAGGCGCCAGGGAGCTGGCCGACGAGACCAAGTTCATGCAGCCGGGCGTTGAACAACCCGAGCTGATGGTCCAGGCTTTGGCGGCCCAGAACTCGTTGAACGACTGCCTCATGACCGGCGAAGATGAGGAGGATGTCGTCGAGAAAATTGTTGAAGAGGTATGGCATTCTTAAGACCAGTCATCGCAGGGCACGACGAGTAAATGAACACACAGACACAGCCCACTGAATTTCTCGCCGGATCTTCTCAGTGGGTCGCGTTTCCGATCCGGTGGTAGATTCTGCGAAGCACTGCTCTTGCTAGGGCCAGTGTTACCAACGTCGTCAGGTTTGAGATCCGTGAGCTCATTTACTTAGGGTTACGCTGAAGTGACTTCTCAAGGCCATCAGCTTAGGTAGGAAAAAAATAAGTATTTGAAATCACAGGCACATTATTAAAACGACAGGTCTCAAAGACGAGTATGAAGAGCAGGGCCGAGCAGACAGATGTTGATCTAAAACGGTTTGAAGAATTCTAGCTTTCAGTCGTCTTAGTTGGTATTATAATGTCTTTGTAATTCGTTACAACCACAATAGGACATAAAGAAAGTTTTTATTTAAGATGAACACGAAATATAGTAAGCAGGAGAAAGTAAACAAGGAATAGATAGTCCAAGCAACATAAGCGGGTACACGAAACAAGAAGCAATTTTTTTTTTTTTAATAAATTTGAATTAAAAATAGTGTCAGAAAAAATGATTTTATTGTAAAAAAAGTGTGGGATGCTTTTCAGGATACTATGAAAATAACCCTTCTACTCATTCTACTACTACTACTGTTCATAAAATATTTATAACTAGTGATACCATGCACCCACGCTTTTTTTACAATAAAATCATTTTTTCTTACACTATTTTTAATTCAAATTTATTAAAATTTATTTTCTATTTTTTAGTTGGATTTTTTATATTTATATACGCATTTGCGTACTTTGTTAGTTTTTTTAAACTATTATTTATTATTCATTTTTTAGTTGAATTTCAATCTTTACATTTTTTTTATATAGTATTGAATTGTCATCCTTAATAAGTATCCCAAATTTCGAGTTAATCCGACGTTTTGAAGGGGGGTCAAAATCATGTTCAAAGATTCCGTTGCATACATACGTCTGAAGCTGATAAAAGCGTATTAATAAATAAATAGATGTGAGTCAGTAGTCACTCACATAGCTTAAGGCTTGTGTACGTTTTAGGCTCTCCAACAAGAGGCTCTAGAAGATTGGGTGGCGGAGCCGTCGGAGGAGAATCAGCTTTTCGCTCCGGAGTTGCCCGGTGGGGCGGCCTGTGTGTACACGCAGCGGGTACTGCAAGTAGCTTCCATTGTCCGCTCCTTGTCCTTCCACGAAGAGAACGTGCAGTATCTTGCCAAGAACACCACGCTGATAAGGTGAGGTCTGGTTTTTGGAACAGGTGTCGATTTTTAGACGATATTATCGTGGCCTAAAGGATAAGACGTCCGGTGCATTCGTATCGAGCGATGCACCGGTGTTCGAATAAGTGAAAGAGCCGGTGACTGCGAAGGGTCGCTCTACAGTCGGAGCAGACTAATTTATCTGGCGTTTCTGTTCATTGTTTGCCTAATGGGGGAGCTTATGTAAACGCGCAATGTTATAATGAACGACGCGAGGACGTGACGACGTGAGCCTGGTGGCGCCATGACAGTAACCGACAGTATGACAGTATCGAGCGATGCACCGGTGTTCGAATCCCGCCAGCGGGATACCAATTATTCTAATGAAATACGTATTTAACAAATGTTCACGATTGACTTCCACGGTGAAGGAATAACGTCGTGTAATAAAAATCTACCCGCAAAATTATAATTTGTGTAATTACTTGTGGTAGGATCTCTTGTGAGTCCGCGCGGGTAGGTACCACCGCTCTGCCTATTTCTGTCGTGTAGTTATGCGTTTTGGTTTAAAGGATGGGGCAGCGGTTGTACTGTAAAAACGGAGACCTTAACTCATATCTCTAGGTAGGTCGCAACGTTTACGTTGTGGATGTATATGGGCTCCGGTAATCATTTAACATCGGATGGGCCATGAGCTCGTCCCCACACCTAAGTAATAAAAAAGCAAAGATTGAATGTATGATGAATCATTTTGACTCTATTGAATGTTTCACATTTATTTTGCAGATTTCTGCTTCTTTGCGCCAACTGTTGGGTCGGCACATTGCGACAGTCCGGGCTGGACACTCTCGGTAATGTGTCTACCGAATTGATAATCAAGGTATGAAATATTTCATAATGGATTGATGTATCTATATATTAATATGGGAAACAAAAACTTTGTACCCCTTTTTAAGAAAATTGCGCGGACGGAGGAGTATGAAATTTCCCACATTTATAGGGAATATAAAGTGCAGAATTTTAATATTTTTTTAAATTATGCATAATAATGTATTAAATAAATAAAAAACATTACACACACTACCATGTATTTGACACAACAAACGCATGCCTACTATTTGTTTATTGTTAAACTTTTCTTGTTGCTTATAGTCTGTGGTCAAATTGAGAATAGATTAAATATTGTTTGTCTATAGTGTAGTCTTGGAGAAATCTGCAATTATAGACGTAGTCTTTGACAATAGAATCACAATAAAGTACAAACTTATAATATCAATTAATTATAGTGGAATTTCGATGACCGGGGATCACTAATTTAATTAAAATTGTCGATTAATTCATCAGTAACCATCTTGTTTATGGACGTTTATGTTGCTTAAAGAAAATAAAACATACTGTAAATAAAATTTGGCCTTTTTCATAGTTCATTTACGATCAACGGATAGAATACCTTATAGGGTAGCTTAAATTTTTACGTATGGGGCACGGAAAAAAATACATTATTCGTATAGAGATGAAGTTTATTAATTTAAGTCTTTAATCAATTGGGATGAAATTAAACGAAACGAGATGAGGTGGGATGGATTAAAATCTCAGTACAATGATGGTCCTTTATTGGACAGTAGACATTTTCATTCATTTTCCTACATTTGTGCACTTTTATTTTACATGTGCTAATCAGTCAATAAATGATAGTTATTACACGTTCAAACTTGAAGGAACACTAAATAAACAAAACAAAACAATTCACACGAATACGCTCCGCGCATTCCCGCCCAAAAAGTCCGGTTATTCGATCTAGTGTCACAGGGTTGCCAATGCATAAAATAATTATTTTAAAAAAAAAGTGTGAATTCGAATTGCGTTGTGATTTAATGTTTTTTAATATATTCCCTGCATGCACAGGATCCGGCGACTTGTCTGATATCTAGACACGTTCTGTCCACCATACAGTCTGCGTTAGTGTCGCCGGATCGGGCCAGAGTATTGGCAGCACTCGAACTGCTCAATAAGCTTGCACAAAACGAGGCCAACGAGGACGCTTTGCTCAAAGCTTTAGAAACGAAGGTTAGTATTTTATTTATTTATTGCTTAGTTGGGTGGAGGAGGTCACAGCCCACTGGTGTTAAATGGTTACTGAAGCCCATAGACATCTACAACGTAAATGCGCCACCAAACTTGAGATGTAAGTTTTAAGGTCTCGGTATAGTTACAACGGCTGCCTCGCCCTTCGAACTGAAACGCATTACGGCTTCACGGCAGAGGGTGGTGGTACCTACCTACCTACCTACCACCAGTGCAAAGGGTTGCACATTTAGACAGCCTCATGGGTCATGTTTCGTCCAGGTGTACTCGGAGGTGTGCTCGCTGCTGACGCTGCGCGACATAATGGTGCTGGTGATGGCGCTGGAGTGCGTGTACGCGCTGACCGGGCTCGGGGACCGCGTGTGCGAGCACGTGGCGCGCGTGCCCGGCCTCCTGCACACGCTTGTGTCGCTCGTCACCGTCGAGGTACGTATTGCCGACTGAGTCGTTGCCAATGTCAACTGTGGGGTCACATGTACATGTAAAAATAATATATCATACTATAACGCATATGGTAAGAATGGTCAAGCAGTATAATGATTTGGCTAAATGTCACGTTTTGGAACGATGCGGAGGGGTACCCTTTACCTGGAAAAACGTCCGTAACGTAAGATTTTATGTTTGTTATCTCATAACTTTTGACTAGGTGAATCGATTTTGATGATTCTTTTTTTATTAGAAAGCTGATGCTTTCCGTGTGGTCCCATTTCAATTTAGTCCAGTTCTGATAATGGTATCCATGAGAAAACCATATAAACCTTAAATGTGCATTAGGTACATGCGCGACAAATAGATAAATAACTCAATATTTCGCCAACCGATTTCGATGATTATTGTTTTTAGTGTATATTAATTTATTTTGGAATAAATTTTTTAATTTTTTTTAATCAATGAAAAAATTCTAATAAAAAACGTATACCCGAATAATTATTTTCTTTATATCTCGAATAGAACTTAAAATTAATATACAATAAGGAACTTCGTTCCTATCTGGTGTCCCACGACACCACACATCTTTTTTTTCATTTAATTATTGCCCTTGTAGGCAGATGAGCACACGGCCCAACTGATGGTGAGTGATTACTGTAATCCATGGACTTCGCAACCCCAGGGGCAAAGCCGTTGCCTACAAAATTGCACTGAATTTCGGGATTAGTTTGGGATGGTTCTTGAGTAATGTCTGTACGTTGTTCAGGCCCAAAGCTACGGGCCGCGAGCTTGCATACTGATGCGCGTGGTGGAGACGGTGAGCGGGCCCAGCGCGCTGGCGGCGGTGGCGGAGCGAGACGCGCAGGAGCGCCAGCAGACACAGCAGCCGCAGGTACGTGCCTCCGGGGCTTGGGACCCGATAGTTATTCCGGGTCGTTTAAGAACCAACTGAGCTCTGTCTCTTTTCCGCTAACGAGATTTTGTTATAGATTGATTGCGATGAATGAAAACATTGACGTCATTATGCAAAATGTCAGATTTTAGTGTAGATTGTTTTTGGATGAATTAAAACATCGACGTTATTAATAATAATAAAATAAATAATAATAGTAATTAATAATCAAGCTCCATTAGCAGACCAAAAGCGACAAAGTCTTAAGAAAAGTTAGCGAATAACTCTGCTGTAATTCATTTTGTTTTTATTTTTATTTATTTTTCTCATGACGATCAGTGGTAAGGTAATAAGTGTAAACAAATTATTAATTTATTTGCAATAAGTGTTTTTTCGTTGAAGCCAACCCCGACTACACCGAAACCAGTACAGCAACCAGAGCCAGCGCCGTCCACGACAGTAGCGGCCACCACGACCACGGTGACCACGACTCCAGCACCCTTCTCATCGATACAGCAATCTCACATGCAACAAAGAACTATACAGGTTTGATATCATATTTTTTTTATTGCCTAGTTGGGTGGACGACCCACTCTAACCGGCGCCATCTAGGCGGGCTTCGGACAGCCTGCCGACCGAGAGGGTTGGTGGTCGTGGCGCCGACGACCGCCGGTCCGGTGTCCCGAGTGGGAGGGTGATGGGAGAGACGTGCTCCGCACTAAACGCTTCACTCTCCCCCCCTTTGCCTTTTCATGAGCTCTGTCTCATGCGAGGTTTGGATGTTGGTTGTTGAACGACAGGAGGCTTTAGTCAGTTCGACTCTGACATACCCCGCCCACCATCCCCAGTGAAGGGCAGAAGTCCGGCGATTTCCGCTTGACAAAAAAAAAACTACCGGAGCGCATAGACATTTACAATTTAAATGCTGCCACCCACCTTGAGATAAAAGTTCTAAGGTTTTAGTATAGTTACAACGGCTGCCCCACCCTTCAAACCGAAACGCATTACTGCTTCGCGGCAGAAATAGGCAGGGTAGTGGTACCTATCCGCGCGGACTCACAAGAGGTCCTATCGTCAGTAAAAAAATACTTTTTACTAAAAAACTACAAAAACGACTAAAATCTATATCTATACTAATATATAAATCTACAGTCGTTTTTACTGATGTTCCGTTATAACTACTGAACCATGCATCCGATTGACTTGAAACTTTGGTATCCACGTAGAAAATACATGTACTTAATGGATAGGCTAATATTTAGTGTGTTGGGCTTCCTAATAATAATGACAATAAATAAAATAATGTTAATTTTGAATGCCCAGCGAAGCGGGCGAGTTCGGCTAGTATACTTCTAAAAGTACAAAATTGATAGTAATTTTGTGACGTGACAATAGGAAAATGAAAATTTCGCTCAAGCATGGCTGCGCTCGAGCTACGAGCCGCTGCCACTGAATGACAACAGCAGCTGCGAGGCAGCCGAGGTGTACCGGCAGTACCTGGCCTGCTGCACCAAGCTCGGCAGGAAGGGAGTCATCGCGCCCGGACACTTCCCCAGACTAGTGAGGTACCGCCCCGCCTCACCCCACCTCACCCGGCCATGTCGACTAATATACGATACAGGGTGTTACTTTTAATCAAAACTATCGACCGACTTCAAGTTCCACTTGTGGCGGTAGCTAGCACAGAAAACCAGATATTTGACAGATGCGAAATTTGTTTGAGAACAAAAAAAAACGTGTGTCACTCGGGGTCTGCCGCGGTAAAGCTATTGCATAGCATTTTTTATCAACTTATGCAATTATAATTAGACAGTAATAATTTAATATTAAAACAATAATAAAATAAGCGCGCTATATTTATAAACATTAAGAAAAGCAAAACATTAACTGTCCCACTCACACTCTTAAGCTAGACCGCGCGAGGGAGAGATGGGCAGACTTTTCATGATGTGCGACGTCACGCCGCGCGTTTATTCACAAACACTACGCAAGCGCTACGTGTGAATGTATTGAACGCGAGCTACATGGTAGGCGGAGTGGGGGTGTTAGGTTTTATTTTCGTTACGGAATTTCTTGATTCGGTCGGCGCGTTCAAAGCCCGCGATAAAAGCTATGCAATAGCTTAAAAAAATTACCATTGAAATTTAACTACGAATTTTTATATCATCTATGACTGGATGAACTTTAGATCTGAGCGAAAGATACCGTAACTGGATTTAAGGATCGGTTGTGTGATTGCAGAACTGTATTCGGCGGGACGGTCGGCCCCAACCCGGTGACGGCGGCCTCGGGCGAGTCGCAACAAGCCTACATAGGGATCAGGGCTAGGAACCCGCAGAACAGGACCAACACCACTGCAGGTAAATTATATGTAAAAAAAACATTTATCATTTATCAGGAAAAAAAATTACAAATCTATTCAAACAAAAAGTATGATTTTTTGTTATCATTCTACATATATATGTATATGTATTTGTGACAAAAAACATACCCTCAAAATTAAATTAAATAATTAAAGTTGGGTAATTACTGGTAAGATGTCTTGTGAGCCCGCACGAGTAAGCACCACCACCGTCGTGAAGCAGCAACACGTTTCGGTGTGACACTTGAGGTATTTCTTATTTTCAAGTACGTAGCCCGTATTATTTAAAAGGCTACTACTCAGATAAAAAAAATAAGCTATAGTTGTTGCAAGCTACGACAGCGCGCCGCCCTTAGTTGTGTGAGTGACCAATCTGTATACGCATCAATGTAGGCTATGTGTAGCAGCAGACCAGTGACTTTTCCGTCGGGTGCACACACTAACGAAAATGCGTATTTACAATTACAACTACATATAAAAGCCACGTACGTAGTTTGCAACAACTATAACGGCTTATTTACATGACAAAAAAATATTGAAACGATAACAGTTATGAAGCTTGTAACTTAATTTTATTTTGGTGTAGTTGTAAAAGTACTAAACACTGATAAAAATATTAAAACTTCAACATTCACTTTCACTCCGGAATGAGGAAGATACAGTTTGGTACATATAAGTTCCGCAATGGACACTAAATTGTTCGAAATTGTTTCACGAAAGTCGTACGATGTTTGAGTCTACATATAGATTGAAGGAACTCGCCACTAAGTTGTATAAACCTTCCAGGACCGTCGTCGCCCATACTCAAGGCTCAGTTGACGAACAAGGCCGCTGTGGAAGTGAAGCCGGCTGTCACGCAGGCTGCGCAGGTATCGAGATGTGAATTTTATATCTATTTAATTGAATATGCAATTTCGAAAAGGGCACATCTCTGAAAATGTAAAATGTTCAGGAAATGAAAAAAAAACTGATCATTTTCTAAAGTAGTGTAAAATTTAAAATATTAACTTTTGAGATATATTTTAGTGTTAATTAGCGATTGAAAATTACTGGAATTATTATAAAATGGGTGTAGGTAAGCCTCAAAAGTACATGTATATGAAAAAACGTATTTGACAAAATATGCGACATGTGCCCTTTTCGAAATTGCATATTCAATTATTATAATGTTTTTATGAATGTTTGATAACAATAAAGACAAAAAGTAACGCAATTCATTGTATTTCTAACGGTATATCAAATAATGTAAAGTAAAAATCTAAATCTGGCAACTTCTGAATTCTCCCGAAAAATCTGCAGTTTATTATAATACCATTTCTTTAGTGTTACTTGTGTTGTAAAGTTCTTCTAAATTTGAATTGTCATACTAAAACTTTTTAGGTAGTCACTCCTTTTTTTTCTATTTTAAACTAACCAACGTTTTTTTTCTCTAAAATCTATTATTTAGTCCCAACAGTTGCCAGTGTATCCTCATCTGTCACAGGCGCTGGAATCGAATCCCTCCAACACGACCCTCATCAAGCACTTGCTCGCTCATAAAGTAAGCCCCGCTACATCGCAACCGCAAGTAAGTGCATCACTAACAACACTAATATTTGTAAAATGCTCTTTTGGTAAATTGTAGTAATAGAAATCAATAAAATCGTCGGGAACACATCTGCTTGATGAACTTCAGCAAAACGAACACAAAGCTCTAATGTTGCCAACTTAAAAATGATAATTTTCACTGACATTGTATTCATTATATTGAATTCATATTTTAACACGTTGACTGCCGTCTAGGTCACCGGTGCCCTACGTGGCGGACTGAAGTAATTATGTCGATTTCTCTTTTCGATCTTCATGCTAAGGGGCCGGAATATCCTAGTAGCCTCTACGAAAGACGAATCCGAAGGTACTGAGGATAAATATAATTCTAAGAGACTTGAAAAACTAAAATATACATTAACAAACAAAAGTCATAGTTAAGCAATCTAGGCGCTTAGTAAAAAAATTGACATAATTAATTCAGTGCGCCATGTAGGGCACCTGTGACCTACACGGCGGTCAACGTGTTAAAATACATAATATGAATTGAATGTCAGTGAAAATTATTATTTTTAAGTTGGCAACATTAGAACTTTGTGTTCGTTTTGCTGAAGTTCATCAAGCAGATGTTGTATTCCCGACGATTTTATTGACATATATTTTCCTACCATAGAAAAAAAAAAACATGACCAGATTATTAAAAAAAAAATTAACTTTTAAAAATATATTAATATTTTAGTTTAAATACTATCAAAAGCAGGGGTTTCACCACGAACAAGGTCCGAGGTATAAAATATTGATACAATTAAAAACTAAAAATGCATGAATGTGTTTTGATCTAAACCGTTAATTAAAAATATCAAATATAAAAAAAAACAGAAAACTGCAGAATAATATCAAGAAAAAAAAACATTTTTAAATGTAATTATTGCCAACTCTCAGGTATTTAAAGAAAATCCTAGGAAATTTAATGCAATATGTAATTAATAAAAATATAATTTCCGAAAAGTTAGTGTCGTTGCTAGGTACTACTTAATGAATTTAGTTAAAGCATGCTCTGAAACAATAATAATTCGATTTGATGTTCAAAGTTTCCGTAGTGGCTGCCAATGTAGAAAATAGCATGCAAATAAAATCGAGTAGAAACTAACTAAAAATTGAGTATAACTACACACACTACACAAAGCATGTATTTGATTAAAGCTTTTTTGAAAAAGCATGTTGAAGTTTTTTTGTGTTATTTTGTTATCTCAATTAGGTTCGTTAAATAAAATAGTTGCCGTTGGACGTAGTTGAATAATTTATACGTTTTGTGAAGTTAAAAAAAACTTCGTAATTGAATAATTAAAAAATTAATTTCAAAGCTAAGTTTTATTATCAATGTTTTAAATATTTGATAATTTTCGTGTTGACGAACGACTGATGCGACATGTGTTGCAATATATTTAGAATATTATGTAAATTTAATTCCTTATGTATATAACGATAAAGAAGATTAAAATATGAATGAACCATAAAACATCTTATAGAGAAAAATATAAAGTATCCTCTCTGATGTTCTATTTAATGTAAATTTTCAAAATCACAATATATAGAAACGATTTAAATATCTCTATTCAAATGGTTTGTAAGTTATATATTTGATGTTAGGTGGCGCAAAGACAGCAGAATCAGCAGCGTGTGCCGACAACGTCAACCGTGGTTGTACAATCCAACCAGGTATATATATGTTTATTGTTTTATACATAACATAGCTGTACACGTTCGCTTCGCTGGGCATTTAAAATTAACATTATTATTTTTCACCCCCACAAAGATTTTCATCATTAACGCCCCCACAACTGGTGTAGGGGTCCAACACTCATATAAATATTAGCCTATCCATTAAGTACATGTACTTTCTACATGGATACCAAGTTTCAAGTCAATCAGATGCATGGTTCAGTAGTTATAACGGAACATCCGTAAAAACCACTGTAGTTTTATATATTAGTATAGATTTATACATTATACAGACAAATTATTATACAACACATTATATCGAAGTTATTCCAATTATTTAAAGAGCCATACATAATTATTGCATGTAAATAAAAAAGAAAAACCGAATGTAAAATTATAAATAAAACAGATTTCAATATTTTGTTTACTCTGTGGAAGTCATATTCTAGCAAGTTTGTATCGTGCCACAAAACTGGGAAAAATTACAAGGATTTTTCTTAATGAACCTGGCAACATTTAAATTTTTTTAAAGAAATCTTGAAACCAATTTTTTTATGAAGGTTACGTGCTCGAAACATTATTAAATTTAAATTTTAATATTCATGAAAAAGGAAACAGACATTAGGTATACAAATAGTTTTAAAATTCACGCGACTAAACATTACTATAATGTTACATGATTTTGTCGTGTGTCTATTTTAGGCCATGGACGTAGACCCAGAATCATTGATTAAGTGCACCACAATAATAACGCCGGGTGGAGTTGCCAATACGACGCCCTCGACGCAAAGCGAGAAGGTAAATATGTTAATATATCGATATGAATGTAGAAGGATATAGAGGAAGAGGTGGACCTAAGAAGAAATGGATGGATTGTGTGAAAGACGATATGTGTAAGAGAGGAGTGAGCGAAGAAATGGTATAATATATTACATATGGTATGGTATATACAGGGCTACAGGTTAAGTCGACCTATTCCCGTTAAGGGCGTGTAGCTTACATAGTTTCTGACTGATTTGGCTATAAATACCCTATCCTAAATCTAACCGATTTAGAGATATTTGAATTCAATTGTTTTTTATAAAAAATATAAAAAATACCCGATTTTCGGCTATCAGCTTAGATATTTTGAAATGCATAAGTCTTATTATTATTACATGATTTTTACTTGTAAAATAAGATGCTGTATGACTCCAATAACCAATATTGTACGTAAAAACGAATAAATAAGCCGTTTTAAACGATTAAAACTTATAAAAAGTAATAAAAAATTAGAAAGTTTATTTTTCTTTCAAGGATATCTAAAAAAATATTAGGGCGCCTGTTTGGCAGATGTGCTTAACAATATCTACGTTTCATCAGCTATCCAACATATGGTATAATATATAGAATGGAATATTATGATAGAGGAGTATGGAAAGAGAAAACGTGTTTCGCCGACCCCAGGTGACTGTGAGAAGAGCAGGAGAATGATGATATCGATATGATTTTATTAAATCTATGGCAATCTTGTGTTCCGTCTCATTAGGGTCGTTTTTTCCGCAACCGAATCTGTTTTGTGTTGCCGTTAAATTCAAAGCGCTGTGTGCGTGCATGCGTGCGTGTATGCGTGCGTGCGTTCGTGATAAATGTCTTATCTGTTGAAGCGGTTTTTGTTTTTAAACTAGTGTTTGTTATTTAATTTTAGGTCATCATCAGTACTCAAGAGGACATATTGGGTAAGTTATATTGTTTTTAGTATATAAATATTCGTATTTATACTATGATTTTGTTGGATTCTTCCGTTTTCAGTGCCCAAAGAAGAACCGGTTCAAATTCAAATCGACGATCAAACGCAGTTTACTATTGTAAGTGCGATCTTGTGTTTATTTATTTAATCGACATTTATTTTCTTAGAAATATTGTTTACTCAATCGAATGTATATAAACACTATTGGTTGTCGAGTTCTTAACACGTTTTTCACATTTTGTGAGTTTTCGATATTTGGTGGGTAGTCTGAAGACTGGGTAGAATATTACGAGCAGAAAAAATTGTCTTGGTTTTTGTGAGTTACCAGTAAAACTCGATGACTCTCCCCGAAAATATTATACAGTTTTATATATATTATACAGTTTTATAAAATATTATACAGAAAATATTATTGGTTAGATGGATGGACGAGCTCACAGCCCATCCGGTGCTAAGTGGTTACCGGAGACCATAGATATTTACAATGTAAATGCGCCACCCACATTGAGATATAAGTTCTAAGGTTTCAGTATAGTTACAACGGCTGCCCCACCCTTCAAACCGAAACGCATTACTGCTTCACGCCAAAAATAGGCAGGGCGGTGGTTCCTACCCGTGCGGACTCACAAGAGGTCCTACCACCAGTAATTAGTATACTTACATTACATCTTACATATCGAGAACTCATTATATGTGAAAATAATAGTAAGGACCCGTTAAATTATTATAGTATTTGAATAATATTTACTTAACTACAAAATTTTAAAACAATCATTTTTGTTTGTTATGTAAATCGTGTAGGTATATATGTTTCTTTAGTTAATATGTTATAGGAAATTTATTATAAACGTTTCTGACTCTAGAAGACGACACAAAACAAAATGTTAGCAGATCTACTCGAGAAGAAGTCGAATCCTCCCGTACAAGTCGTACAGATGGCGCCCCAGCTCAACGCTCCGACCATCCAAATAACGGAGACCGGTCAGATAGTTCAAGTGAAGTCCGATTCGACGCCGCTGATACAGATATCGGACTCGGCCCTCGTCGGCGGTCAATATTTCCAGATAAAAAACGACCACGGCCAGCTGATACACATAAAAAACGAACAAGGTCAGATCGTTCAACTGAAGAGTGACCAGATACAGCCTCTATTGCAGTTCAAGAGCGAACAGGGACAGATCGTTCAGGTGAAGAGTGAGTCCGTGACGCAGCCGGGGGTGGTTCAGTTGAAGGAGAAGGACGCGCTGGATTTGGTGGTCACGGATCACTCGTACACCGAGCCGCCCTCGAAGAAGATCAAAGTCGAGGAGGTTTGTAAGGGTCGTGGCACACTGCAACCCCACTTCGAAAAAGCGGCACGACACGAGAACCCTCTCATCGTGGCCGCCGGTTTTCCGATCCTGCGGACAGAATGGAAAGTAGTCGACGTCGCCCAATACATGTAATTTCGGATCCTCCCGATCCACTAACGGTGCTTTTAGGTACCTCAAGCACCCGTTATTGTTCTCGTCGAACCCGTCGCTTGCGACGAAGGGCTCGACAAGTATATTAACCACTGAGTTTCTCGCCGGATTTTCTCAGTGGGTCGCGTTTCCAATCCGGTGGTAGATTCTGCGAAGCACTGCTCTTGCTAGGGCTAGTGTTAGCAACGTCGTCAGGTGTGAGCCCCGCGAGTTCACCTGCTAGTTAAGGTTACGCTGAAATGGCCTCTCAAGGCTATCAGCTTAGGTAGGAAAAAAAGGCACACTGCAAGCACGCCAACGGCACCGCTCCATCCCAACGATTAGCTTGTCATTTGAATTTGACCTTTAAATCGTATGTCGTACAATATGTTTTATAACGTTACTACGGTAACCAAAATACAATACAGAGCCGCGCCGTTACCGTGCCGGTACAGTGTGCCATAACCTTAAAGAGATCCAATTGTGCTGATGTAAAATTTAGCTATGAATTAGCTCTAAAACTCGATTGGTGTATTTTAATTTGGCAATTTTTTTTTTATACTATTCGAATGTTAATGTATTCTTTAACAGACAAGCGTCCGACAAGAATCCGTGTCGAAAACGGCGGCAAATTTGTATGCGGCACTCGCGGCATCCGCTTTAGAAGACGAAGACGATTTGGTATGTTAAGATAACGACTGTTTCATATATCAATCAAAGCTGTTTGTGTGGACCTATAGGTTCCTTATGACGACGCCTGTAGCTGAAAATAACTATTGTACTTTTTGACGAAGCTTGTTGCTGATAACTCTGTTTCTATAATCTGACGAAGCGTGTTGCGGGTAATAGGCAAACGTGACTAAGCGACAATGCGTGAACTTTACAGTAGACTAATTTAAAGCTGAAATACCTGAAAAAAATTCTATTTTACGAATCTAGCTGTAGGATTGAAATTATTTTAATAGACCTAGAAATATATTTTTTTGCGCATCGATTATGGTTATTGCCTATCATTTATGTACAAAGCAGTTATTGTCGCTTAGTCACGTTTGCATTTCAAGCGTCGATATGTACTTTTAACAATTAAATAAAATCTATTTTCAATCAAAAGTAAATCAATTAAAAGTGTCCTTCTTCAAACGTACCGTACCGTACCGAATCCGTCGCTTGCGACGAAGGGCTCGACGAGTAAACTAACCCACAGACACAGCCCACTGGTTTTCTCGCCGAATCTTCTCAGTGGGTCGCGCTTCCGATCCGCTGGTAGATTCTGCGAGGCACTGCTCTTGCTAGGGTTCGTGTTAGCAACATTCCCGATTTGAGACGTTAAGGCGAACCTGAAATAGCCTCTCAAGGCTATCAGCATAGGTAGGGAAAAAAAATATGATATTTTCTAAGCGATTTTTAATCAATTACAAAAGCAAAGATCATTTAATTTGTTACGTTGTAACTTCATTTTACATCAGTTGTTCGTGTGTCGTTGTTACTTTGAAAATTTACCAATTCTTATAATATTATTGGCGTGCGTCTTTACATGTCTGAACTTTAGCGACCTCATCGATTGATGGTGGCGGGAATGCGGACTAAGGTTTCTGTATGTCATTTATTTTGTTTAACCTCTCACGGGTGCTGGAGCGTTTTAGTAGTCCCGTTTGGGTAGGTATCGCCATCTCACCCGTTTCTGTCACGAAGCAGTTAGCATTTCAGTTTGAAGGGTGGGGCAGCCGTAATAGGGAGACACTTGACTTTTTTTTACTGGTGGTAGGACGTCTTGTGAGTCCGCATGGGTAGGTACCACCGCCCTGCCTATTTCTGCCGTGAAGCAGTAATGCGTTTCGGTTTGAAGGTTGGGGCAGCCGTTGTAAATGTACTGAGACCTTAGAACTTATATCTCAAGGTGGGTGGCGCATTTACGTCGTAGATGTCTATAGACTCCGGTAACCACTTAACACCAGGTGGGCTGTAAGCTCGTCCGCCCACTTAAGCAATAAAAAAAAATCTTCGATCTCATGTGTCAAGGTTGGTGGCCATATTCACGTTATGATGTCTCTGAGTTCTTATATCCACTTAAAATCGGATGGGCCTTGAACTTGTTTACCATCTATGGATTAATTAAAAGTTCTACATAAAGGTTAGGATATTGGTCTCCAAATTGGTACAGTCCGGTCATGACTTAATTCAGCATATCGTCGCTGTCAAACCAAAATCTGCTATGAGCAAAAACTTTTGAATTAACGAGTAAAAACATTTGCGTATTAAATTTTATATGAAGGTGAATTTTTAAGAACTATATCAAATGAAAGCTATAGATAAATATTAAAGATATAGACACCTAACAGTTTTTTTTTAACGGTCGATAGGGCTGTGAACTATACGAAACTATACGAAAAGGTCAAAAAGTAAAAATCTCAAGAAGTGCACATAACAGATTTTGGTTTGACAACGACGATATCCCGCATACATGAGTGGACAGTACCATCTAGACTTCTAGAGAATTCGCTGACCAAGTGGAGAGCCGTGAACCCGCAATGTACTACGAAGACAGTCGTCCCGCGTTTTCTCGATTTCGATTCACATCTGGTGGTAGGACCTCTTGTGAGTCCGCACGGGTAGGTACCACCGCCCCGCCTATTTCTGCCGCGAAGCAGTAATACGTTTCGGTTTGAAGGGTGAGGCAGCCGTTGTAACTATACTGAGACCTTAGAACTTGTATCTCAAGGTGTGTGGCGCATTTACGTAGTAGATGTCTATGGGCTCCAGTAACAACTTAATACCAGATGGGCTGTGACCTCGTCCACACCTAAGCAATAAAAAAAAAAAACATCAGCTGCGATTTTTGTTTACAAAATAAGGGAAGGTGAATTTTCAATAAAGTTTTTAATACGTGTTATGTTTTAAACAGCTACCACCGAAACAAGAGGCGATGGATGTGATCCAACCGCCGGTGTTGGTCGCGGGCACGGCCGATAACCCGTCCGTCATAATTCAAGAACCAATATTGCAGGTAAGTACTGCTAGATTTTTTATATCCTTTTTTATGTACAATTTAGTTTCTTATATCAGGTACTCACAAAACGCCTCTACCAGTAATTACGATATTTTTTCTTTTTTTTTGTTGCTTCCTTTAATAATGTGTTATTATTATTATATTTATTATTGCCCTTGTAAGCAGACGAGCATACGGCTCACCTCAACCTAAGTGGTTACCGTTGCCTATGGACTTCAGCAATGCCAGGGGCAGAGCTAAGCCGCTGCCTATCGAAACTATTAATAGTACTTTTACTAACTGCTGTATCTTTATCTTTTCCAGAATTTCTGTAAATATCTGTATTCTGTAAATATAATTGTCTGGAAGTAATGTAAGACTGCGTATTTATTATACAAATACACCTGTTTACTGTTTTAATGTTAATTGTGTTTTGGTGTGAAATAAAATATATTCTCTTTTTCTCTTAGATGATTAAACGAGCTCACGGCCCATTCGATTTTAAGTAGTTATCAAAATCCATACACATCACCACTTTTAGGTCCAAGCCTCAATTTTATTGTGTAACAGCTATTCCACCCTTCAAACTGGAACGCATTACTGCATCGCAGCAAAAATAGACACGTAATTGGTACGTACTCCTTACGTGCTCACGATATGTCTTTCCTCCTTCCTCGGTCGCATTCCTCATGTCTGAGAGTCGTGACCGTCTCCTCCCATTATCCTTCTCTGGATGGTGTTTCGCCATCTTCCTCTGTTCTCGGCTATGTGTATGGCGTCGTAGACTGTGGTATCTAGAGTGGTGCGGATTTGGTCAGAACAGCGCATTGAATTGCGGCCACGAGATGTTTTGCCAGTTATCTTGCAAGTATCAATTTTTCAAGATTGTCACCGCTCTTTGTAGCAATGTGACCGAAGAACTCAAATATTCTCTTAGAGGTCTTACTAATAGCACACAATGTATCCCATTCAAGGTGCAACAACCTACTATGCAAGTTCAGCAGTCTGCGATACAAGTTCAAGGTCAAACTCTGCAGGTAATTAATACTTCTTAAACAATATTGTGATTGTTTGCGTGTTTTTTTGCCTACATACATTACTGACCTCGAGAGGTTAGAGGTTACATTTTAGCTTCACCGGTCGTGTGGGCGACCTCACGGGGCTCAGTCTGGAGACTTTGCTAAAACTAGTCTTAGCAAGAGCAGTGCTTCGCTGAATCTACAACCGAATCGGAAACTTCTTTTTTTCCTACCTAAGCAGATGGTCTTGAGAGACCATTTCAGCGTAGCCATCACAAGTAGGTGAGCTCACGGGGCTTAAACCTGAAGACGTTGCTAACACTAGTCCTAGCAAGAGCAGTGCTTCGCAGAATCTACCACCGGATCGCAAACGCGACCCACTGAGAGGATCCGACGAGAAACTCAGTGGGCTGTGTCTGTGAGTTAATTTTCACGACGGACCTTTCGTCGCATTCGATCGGTTCGACGAGAACGGTGACCGGTGCTTAGCTAAAATCACTGATAGTGGATCGGGAGGTAGTGATTGTATGGGTTAATGGTAGCCGTGCCTTATTATTTTCAATTAAAGCGTAATCGTGCGATCGTCACGACCCTTAGTAATGAGGAAAGCGACGCGAGGAGGAGAAAATTAACCCACAAATAAAGACACAGCCCAATGGGTTCTCGCCGGATCTTCTCAGTGGGTCGCGTTTCCGATCCGGCGGTAGATTCTGCGAAGCACTGCTCTTGCTAGGGCGCTAGTGTTAGCAAAGTCTCCTGACTGAGCCGTGATGAGCTCGCCCACACGACCGTTGAAGCTGAAATAGCCTCTCAAGGCTATCAACATAGGTAGGGGGGAAACAATAATAAGAGTATAGCGTATTGATAATGTTTTTCGTTTCTTTTTGATACGTCCAAGGTCCAGCAGCCGGCATTACAAATGCAACAGCCGATGTTGCAAGTGCAACCGATGGACGTCCAAAACATCATAGCTTCGCAATCCGGGCAGCTGATTCTGCAAGGTATGCTAACTCTCTTCGGGGACTTGTGACGTCATTTGGGGCTAAAACCAAATTAACGCACTGTTGAAATACAAAAAATTAGTTAAATATACGTATATGTGATATATGTCGTTGAAAAATGATAAATTTACAGATCTAAAGTCTAGAAATTATTGTTAGCACGATTCTGTTTTTTTTTACCGAGTTATTGGCAATTTTTGTTCTGAATTCGCCGACTTATACATACAGGATTACTGCTTGCTTCAATATCTTATAAACAGCCTCCAGCCGTCTATATGTAGCAGAGTCTGATCGCGTAACTTTTTGAACACGCTTTGTTAGCTTAACCTGTATGTATCTGTACACGCATCAAGGACTGTTAGCAATACAATAATATAATTATTATAATTTGATTAGTTTTTAGTTGCACGTGCTAATAATGTGTGTGTTATTTTTATGTATTTATTATGCTTAAAATAAAACATTTTGTCGCAGAAAAAACGATAGCAACACAGCCGGCGCAGTTTATGCAGCAGCCAATGCAGATCATCGCTACCCCCAGCACTTCTCAAGGTAAACGCAGGAACGGAATCCGTCTTCACTGCTGGTAGTGGGGCGTCTTGGGAACCCCCACTGGTAGGCACCACCGTCCAGTGTGCTTAGTGCGAGTTTTTTAACGTTCTCGATAGCGTAAAAGTTAACCCAATTTTGTATGCAGTTGGAACAGCGCCCCTAGCGGCAAACATACGCAAACGATCCCATTCCATACAAATATGAACTAACTTTTACGCTATCGAAGAACGTTAAAAAACTCGCACTAAGCACACTGCTCATTATTGCCACGAAGCAGTCTTGAGTTTCGGTTTGAAGGGTGCGGCACCCGTTGTACTTCATAAAGGAGAATTAGAACTCATGTCACAAGGTGGGCGACGGCATTTACGTTGTTGATGTCTATGGGCGCCGGGGACCACTTAACACGAGTCCCATAAGGCTCTTTGAGACCCATAAGGCTCTTTGAGACTTGTAAGAGACGGTTAAATATATTAGAAACATAGGCCATAAAAAAGCATGTGAAAAAAATGGTTCTTAAAATAAATTACATTAATTGTGTGTTATCTATATTTGGCTCTTTTGGCTGACAAGGTCGCCGATCACTGGTGTTTTTTTTATTGCCTAGATGGGTGGACGAGCCCACAGCCCACCTGGTGTTAAGTGGTTACTGGAGCCCATAGACATCTACAACGTAAATGCGCCATCCACCTCGAGATATAAGTTCTAAGGTCTCAAGTATACTTACAACGGCTGCCTCGCCCTTCAAACCGAAACGCATTACTGCTTCATGGCAGAAACAGGCAGGGTGGTAGTACCTACCCGTGCGGGCTCACAAGAGGTCCTACCACCAGTAAATAGATACCTTGTTCAGGCACCAGGTCGGAGTCTTCATTACCGGCTGCCCTGCAAACCGGTTCTTATGACACAGCATCTGTCACAGGTTCCTCGTGACGATTCGTTGTGTGTTTCAGCAGGTCTGAGTTACATCACCCAGAATCTGCCGAGCAATATGATGCAGAAGACTATAATAATCGTTCAGGGTCCAGCCGGGGGTGGACCGCTGACGCTCACGGTAAGCTTGAAACACATTAGCATGATCAGTTATTAAGGTCAGCAAAAATGTCATAAGTACAAAACAAAACTTTTTAATTATGTACTTTTGTATATGATAATGACACGAGATGATAATTCATGTGTAATTAAATATGGTTCCCATGTCTCGATGATTATCAAAATTCAATGTCAACTGAATGCGGTGTGCGTTTTATACTTAGGGCTGTCACGGGCCAATTTAGGGTCACGTGTTTGTCGATTTTAAAATTCTGATCAATCATCTGATATAATCAGCATTAGAGCATTAATTTCTCTGGATATATTAGGAAATTTAAATTTGTTCAAATTTGTTGTAAAGTAATTTTATGTCGGGGCACATAGACATCGCAAAAAGAATATCATCGTTAAACTTGTCATATGAAAATTAAGCCTTATCGGTATTAGGATAGCGGCTATTTTGATCTTAAATAAAGGACGAACGTACTTATGTTTGTAGTCACAAAACCCGAATGTTCAATAGTTACAGTTAACCAATTTAAAAGGATAATTAAATTTTCATATGTAAGGTGAACAACCCTGGCGGCTTGGACGAAGGCACGCTAAACAGTCTAATAGCGCAAGCGACCGAAGCATTGACACAACAACAAATAATACAGGTTAAAAAATAAAACATGACCAAAAAGTATCGCTAGTACTAATTTCTGTTGTCTATGGGTTCTCATTCGTTCATGCTAATCGTTCATTTTTCTTTTTGTTTTTAAAGTATGTGTATTTTTTAACAATTTACATGTAATAACAGCGTCGTATTAACAAAATCTATTCACGTCATAATGCTTTTACTAATTTTCGATAAGATCACCTCTCCTTGGCTTGGTACTGTGCCAGCGATGTTTGGTATTCGTTTGGCTGTATGTCTGTGTATCCTGTGCCGGTGAAGAAGCTAACATCAAGCTCGGTCCCGTTAAATGTGTGTTTAAATAACAATAATTTTCATTATAATCGAGTTATCATCTGTTGAGTCTGATATTAGTATAATTACAAACAATGTACAGTTTGCAACATTGATGAACTGTGTAATATTATGAATATATTTATTTGACAGTAGTATGGTCAGAAACACAAAATAAAGATTTATTTTTATTTAATTAAAGATTTAAGCCAGTAAAAGACTTGAAAAATTCTTTGCGTTTCCTCTATCATAAATTCTATTTCATTCATTTCTCATCTGCAAATATCATCGTTTTCTTCTTGATTTTATTCATCAGTTGGTTTCATTCATGGTTGCAGGTTTTAAATGATTTTGTGCTTAATTAACGTTGTGCGACTCGAAAATGAGCTCTAAAACACAGTAAAAAGTGAATAAATTTTATTGCGCTACATCAAAATAGAGAGAGAGAGAGAGAGAGCTCCAATTTTAAACAAATGCAGATATAAATAAAAGGTTTTTTTTTTATTTGGCATTATTAAGTTGGCATTATTCCGACAGAGATCTATAATTTACTGTCTAAAGTTTAAAAAACACTCGTATGGTATTAAACTGTTATGAGTTCTTTGATATTTTGAAGTCAACATGACTCGAAATTATGCATCAAAGTATTTTATACCCTAATTTTATAGAAATAAAGTATAATTTTGAACGTACAGAATACTGGAGTGATACAGTCGACCCAGAGGGTTATTGTCAGTCAGCCAACACTAGTGAGCACTTCACAGCCGATAACCGTTGTGAAGACTGCCATTGCTCAGGTTCATGCATCATTTGATATTCTTAATTATGCATCCATTAGAATGGTTAAAAAAAAGAGTACTAAAAATATAGTTATCCTGCTCTCGCATGAAGTTGAATGTAAAAGTGCGAGCAGGACAGAGTGCTAAGTGAAAAAGTAGCTTCTAGAACATGTTGCGTCTTTCAGAATGAAGGGTTAAGGTAGAATTTTGCTTTGATTCTCATTAGGCAATAGATGAATTGTAATCTAAGTGTTTTTGATGTTCCTAATTTCCATTGTATAAAATTCGCATATATCTTGGTTTTGTGCATGAAACGAAAGCTTTTTATTAAATGTGTAGATGAAAGTATTTTTTTTTTATTTCAAATCTGTGAAGGCATGTCATGTTTCTGGGGGAAAAAAAAGTTAATATCCTGAATTTGTATTCATTTAGATACGATTTTTATTTACTGGTGATTTTGCTTCTTAGTATTCTAATTGTCGAAATCAAACGGTTTTGTATCAATTATTTGAAAATTTCGTAAATAAAAATTGTATTTATTTCTCTGACGCCTCCCCTAAACTTACAGAACGCCCCTCAAATAACTCCAAGCCAACAACCGATAATAACGACCCAACCGCAGCCCCACAAGGCTCAAATCGTTAGTCAACCTCAAGCGCAACAGATAGTTGTGACCCAGAAGCAACCTCCCACTCTTATCACCACGTCGACCAGCAACCAGATGATGCAGGGCACCCAGCAACTCATTCAGGGGAACCAGCAATTGCTCCAAGGGGGGCAACAGCTTATATCGGTGTCGAACAACCAGCCCGTGCTGATGAGTGCACCGCTGAAGGCGAACGTTCACAGAGTCGTGCAACCTCAGAGGAGTCAAGTCGTGAACCAACCGATGGCGACTCCGGCATCCGTTGTGCAGACCGACACCAAGAATACAGTCATTCAGAGCGGCGCGGTAAGTTCTAGAGATAATTAGTTCCTTTTCTAATTTTTATTTGTTTATTTTATTCATTCCATTCAATACAAAGTCAGGCTTACAGTTTGCACCAAATCGCCTTACTCGTTAACATAAAAAAAAACATTATTAAAATTATTAAGTACTATTATTATGCTAAAAATAACATTATTTTGGAAAAAGTATTCCCCAACTATCGGCAAACACGTCAGCATCCTGGATTTCGGACAGAAATTTGTTGAACAGCGCGATTGCCCTGGCCTAGCTCTACGGCATGTAGCTCTAATGCATGTAAATTCGATCTCACGAAGCATCTTCTGATAAGTTCAAATTTCAAATTTCAAATTTCAAAATCATTTAAATCAGCGTCTATCAGCGTCTATAGACATTGTGAAGCGATTGCCCTCCAACTCAATACATGAAGTCGAAGTCTAAATTGTGTTCTGACAAATGTTCGATGCTTTAAAACCGAACGCATAACTGCTTCTTTTTTTTTTGAGGGATTTTATGACCTGGTTGGTAACTACGACCTTTAGGTCATGTCTTATAATAATTGATATTCTTATTTTTATGAAAAATGATAATATAGAGTGAAATGAAATGAATATGATTCATTTGAGAGGTTAATCAAATAGAGATGAAATGAGATGATATGGGATGAAATATAATCTCAGTAAAATGATGGTCATTTACGGAGATTTTTTCAGTGGACTTTCTGGAGGATCCCGAGAAGCTACGTCCAGCGGCTTTGTTTCATTTTCCCACATTTGTGCACTTTCACAAATATTAAACAGTTAATAAACCACCGTTATTACACATTTAAACCCGAAGAAACACTAAATAGATAACATAAAACAAATCACACAACTTTACTCGTCGCGCTCCCGCCAAAAAGTCGCATAACTGCTTCGTTCGAGATAGATCTATCTACGTACTTTACTGCCGCGAAGCAGTAATGCTTTCCGGTTCGAAGGGTGGGGCAGCCATTGTGCTGTAAAACTGAAAATTAGAACTTGTGGGTGACGGTATTTACTTTGTAGTCGTCTACGGGCTCCGGTAAATCATTAGCATCGGCTAAACTGTCAGTTCGTTCACCCATTTAGAAGCAATACAAAATAATATATAACACAATAATTGCACCGAACTGTGCGGGCCCACACATTACTGCTATTAATTACGCAAACTCGCATTTTTTTGCGGGTTTGTGTTTATAGAAAGCCTTTGATCTGTGGATTTAGTGCGAGTTTTGTTAACGTTCCCGATAGCGTAAAAGTTAACTCAAATAACAGCGCCTCTAGCGGCAAACGTAGGCAAACGTTCCAACTCCATACAAATTTATGTTAACTTTTACGCGATCGAGAACGTTAAAGAACTCGCATTAAGCTCACTATATCTAGAAGTAAGTAATATCTCGGTAAACTATGATACGTTAACCATAATTATAGTATATTAGCTGTGACCGTCTGCTTCGCTGGGCATTTAAAATTAGCATTATTATTTCTCACCCCCACAAAAATTGTCATCCTTAACGCCCCCGCAACTGGTGTAGGGTATCCAACACTCATATAAATATTAGCATTTCCATTAAGTACATGTATTTTCTACATGGATATCAAGTTTCAAGCCAATCGGATGCATGGTTGAATGTCATACGTTATAGTTATAACGGAACATCCGTAAAAACCACTGTAGATTTATATATTAGTATAGATGTTAGGACATTATTTTTAATAATTTTTTTTACAGAAAGTGCAAGCACAAGCGATGAGGCAGGTGATCACCCGGCAACCGGTGATGGTTGGCAACACGAAGATCGGCGATAAGGAGCTAGTTGTGACGCAGCCGGTAACTCCCGAGGTATCACGATATATTAACAGACTTTCAAAAAGAAAGTTTCTCAATTCGGCTAGGTCAGGGGTTCCCAAACTTATTTTGTCTACTGCCCACTTTGAGAATAAATTATTTTTAGGGACCCCATTTTTTTCACCTATTTAAAAACCACTATAACGAGAGCTCGTCGGTGTCTGGGAGTTCTTCTAGATAAAATTATAAATCTCCTCCCAAGCCCCTACACAACGCCCCCGTTTTTTTTTCTGGGTCTCTTACCGCCCCCCTTTAGGCCTGCAGCGCACACACGAGGGCGTTATCGCCCACTTTGGGAAAGGCTGGTCTAGGTGAACCGATTTTGATAGCTCTTTTTTAAATTGGAATATACTATTGAATATGAATGCGGTCACATTTAAAGGACAATGCCCATTTTCTTAGGGCGTTTGGGCCCCTAAAAAAAGTTGTCGGGTCATGATGGTTTTAACTTAATTTGATAGACAAACAAATATCGTTTCATATTCAGAAAACGATTTTTATATTCTCACCCAGGTTTAAGAGAAATCTGTTTTTTTCTACAGCTAAAATTAAGTTGTTCATTGTTTTCTTCGAAATCAATAATCGCTCTCATCATTATTTACACTATTAAATAAGTTAATAGTGGTTAATGTTGCTAGAAATAAGCCCTTACGTACATATTATTATTATATCCTCATAATAATAATAAAATGAAATGAAAATCCGGAAGCCGGCAACGATATTGTTGTTGTTTAAGTTGTTTTTAAATTCGCCAATAAGCAGGCAAAGAGCGTAGCCTATACAGCCTAGTCTGTCGTAGTTATATATANGAAAAACGAATTATTGACTTTGTATTCCATTGGCAGTCACAAAACTCTTCGGAACGACATCTTAGATAAATAACAGGTTAACTATTAACCTTTATTTAATGCAGGTTTTGAACCGTATTCTTTGAAGGAGACGATTACATTCAAATCAATCTGTATTGACATATCAATAACATTTTTTTGTCCAAATGCACAGATTGCCACCTTTGATAATAGACGACTCACATATAGATTGAAGGAACTCGCCACTAAGTTGTATAAACCTTCCAGGACCGTCGTCGCCCATACTCAAGGCTCAGTTGACGAACAAGGCCGCCGTGGAAGTGAAGCCGGCTGTCACGCAGGCTGCGCAGGTATCGAGATGTGAATTTTATATCTATTTAATTGAATATGCAATTTCGAAAAGGGCACATCTCTGAAAATGTAAAATGGTCAGGAAATGAAAAAAAAACTAATCATTTTCTAAAGTAGTGTAAAATTTAAAATATTAACTTTTGAGTTATATTTTAGTGTTAATTAGCAATTGAAAATTACTGGAATTATTATAAAATGGGTGTAGGTAAGCCTCAAAAGTACATGTATAAATAAAAAAACGTGTTTGACAAAATATGCGACATGTGCCTTTTTCGAAATTGCATATTCAATTATTATAACGTTTTTATGAATGTTTGATAACAATAAAGACAAAAAGTAACGCAATTCATTGTATTTCAAACGTTGTATCAAATAATTTTAAGTAAAAATCTAAATCTGGCAACTTCTGAATTCTCCCGAAAAATCTTCTATCTTCTAAATTCTAAATCTTCTAAATTTGAATTGTCATACTAAAACTTTTTAATTAGTCACCTCTTTTTTTTCTATTTTAAACTAACCAACGTTTTTTTTCTCTAAAATCTATTATAATTTAGTCCCAACAGTTGCCAGTGTATCCTCATCTGTCACAGGCGCTGGAATCGAATCCCTCCAACACGACCCTCATCAAGCACTTGCTCGCTCATAAAGTAAGCCCCGCTACATCGCAACCGCAAGTAAGTGCATCACTAACAACACTAATATTTGTAAAATGCTCTTTTGGTAAATTATAGTAATAGAAATCAATAAAATCGTCGGGAACACATCTGCTTGATGAACTTCAGAAAACGAACACAAAGTTCTAATGTTGCCAACTTAAAAATAAAATTTTTCACTCACATTGTATTCATTATATTGAATTCATATTTTAACACGTTGACCGCCGTGTAGGTCACCGGTGTCCTACGTGGCGTACTGAAGTAATTATGTCGATTTCTCTGTTCAATCTTCATACTAAGGCACCGGAATATCTTGTAGCCTCTACGAAATATGAATCCGAAGGTACTGACAATGAATTTATTTTTAAGAGACTTGAATGACTAAAACATATATTAACAAACAAAAGTCATAGTTAGGCAATCTAGGCGCTTAGTAAAAAAAATCGACATAATTAATTTAGTACGCCATGTATGGCACCGGTGATCTACACGGCGGTCAACGTGTTAAAATACATAATATGAATTTAATGTCAGTGAAAATTATTATTTTTAAGTTGGCAACATTAGAACTTTGTGTTCGTTTTGCTGAAGTTCATCAAGCAGATGTTGTATTCCCGACGATTTTATTGACATATATTTTCCTACCGTAGTAAAAAAAAACATGACCTGATTATTAAAAAAAAAAAAAACTTTAAAAAAATATTAATATTTTAGTTTAAATACTATCAAAAGCAGGGGTTTCACCACGAACAAGATCCGAGGTATAAAATATTGATACAATTAAAAACTAAAAATGCATGAATGTGTTTTGATCTAAACTGTTAATCAAAAATATCAAATATTAAAAAAAAACAAAGAAAACTGCAGATTAAAGAAAAAAAAACATTTTTAAATGTAATTATTGCCAACTCTCAGGTATTTAAAGAAAATACATGGAAATTTAATGCAATATGTAATTAATAAAAATATAATTTCCGAAAAGTTAGTGTCGTTGCTAGGTACTACTTAATGAATTTAGTTGAAGCATGCTTTGAAACAATAATAATTCGATTTGATGTTCAAAGTTTCCGTAGTGGCTGTCAATGTAGAAAATAGCATGCAAATAAAATCGAGTAGAAACTAACTAAAAATTGAGTATAACCTACACACACTCCACAAAGCATGTATTTAATGAAAGCTTTTTTGAAAAAGCATGTTGAAGTTTTTTTGTTTTATTTTGTTATCTCAATTAGGTTCGTTGAATAAAATAGTTGCCGTTGGACGTAGTTGAATAATTTATACGTTTTGTGAAGTTAAAAAAAACATCGTAATTGAATAATTA